TCTGGTCACAGCCACAACCAATCGTTATAGCTTGTCATTATTTCTGGAGTCCAGGGACGAAGATGCAGAAATCTCAACAGGGCCTCCTTCAGACATTACTTTATGAGATATTTCGACAGTGTCCAGATCTCATCGAATCTTGCTATAAAAGACAATTACCCAAGGATAACAGTCAAGACATCCAGGAGCCATGGTCTATACCCGAACTGCATCATATACTCCAGCATATAGCTAATGCTGATGGTATTGGTGTGAAATTCTGTGTGTTTATCGATGGATTAGACGAATATGAAGGTGATCACTTGGAATTCTGTTCTGCCCTACATGATCTGACCAAATCGGCGCATATAAAACTTTGCATATCGAGTCGACCTTGGAATGCCTTTACAGATGCTTTTGGCCAGGACCCTAACCATAGGTTATACATGCATGAGCTAACAAAGAACGATATCCAACGCTATACCACAGACAGACTCCAGACGCACCCTAGATGGGAGGAACTTCTTGTCGATACGCCATCGGCGGACACACTCATCCAAGAGATCGTACAACGGGCTACCGGTGTCTTTCTCTGGGTTGTTCTCGTCACTAAGCTACTTCGAAATGGGTTGACGGAATATGATTGTTATCTCGACCTATACAAGAGACTCGACACCTTCCCTACTGATTTACAGGACTTTTTCAGACACATCTTAGGAGGTGTTGAAGTCTTCCACCAAGAAAAGATGGCAACGTCTCTACGCATAGCGCTAGCAGCGGATGGGCCCCTAGACTTAACGCTGTACAGTTTCCACGATGAGGAATACGAAGATCCTCATTACGCGTTGAAGTTAGAACTTAGTCAGCCTGACCAGTCTGACTATGAAGCAATGAGAAGGAGAAATAAGCTCACAAATCGGCGGTTAATCGGAAGGTGCCGTGGTCTTCTTGAAGTCAATAAGGACTGGGAGGTAAACCTTTTTACACCGTACTGTCAAGGACTTTTTACAGCTTGCAGAGATGTCAAACTTCCTAGTCGAGAAGTCGCCACGTTCTTTTAACCCACACATTTGTCTTCTAAGAGCTTATATTGCTTGGTTCAAAACCGCAAAATTTGATCGAATTACCCAATCCAAAGTCGAGCCACGCGAATTTCAGCCCAGATTCAGGGAAGCTACACTATATGCTGCTTTGGCAGGTGAGGATGGTCATCAATATGAACAGCTAAGCCATCAGCTCCTTGACGAGTTAGACCGTAGTGCAACGGACTTTGCCGAGCAAGACAGCCAAAGTATCTTTCGACAACAAGTCCTAAATGCGCAGCTGATCACATATCTCAACAACAAATTATTTAGATCGACACATTACTTCTCAAAGCTCGAAACTCCGCCTCTGTTCCTCTGCACTTCTCCCAATTACCCCCATGACTTCCTAGCATCACCGGCCCGTGGAGGAGGAGAAATATGGTCGAAGAAAACGGTGGAGGTAATTAGATGTCTCTTAGAGCATGGACAGAAGCCAAACAAAGGATACATGAGAGAATACTATAAAACGCCCTGGATTGAGGTTGTGAAAAGGACCATACCCGGCTCTAACTCTGTGTCACCGAGCAGTCAGCAAGGCGCTACTTTCCGCTCTGCTCTTGAGACAGGTCTTTTCAAAGTCTTTCTTCAGTACGGCGGTGACCAAAACGCGCTAGTAGCCTTTCGATCGTCTTCACAAGATGTTATATAATCTAGCGCTTGGATCAACTACGTCTTTGCTTCCTTAGAAATTCCGACTGATTTGGTATATGAGTCATTGTACCTTCAAAGCTTAGACAGCTTTCTCATGGGCATTGATATCGACCGCCCACAACACTCGCCGGGAGGAGGCAGCCTCCTGCAGACGCTGAAAGTTTGGGAAATGCTTTTTGCTCAACTGGAAAAAAGTTCCGGCCGAGGAAACCCTTATAATGGCCGACTTCTTACCGAAGTCATAGACAGACTTCTTTCGAAGAGCCTAGAGAGTCGATCATCGGAAGGTATCTGGCTATCAATCGGAAAATATCTCCCTGGACGATCCTTCGATAGGCTCAAAACTAAACACAAATCCAACGGGCTGTTAACCAAATCGTCGAAGAAGACCACCAAAATAGCAAGGCCAACCAGCACTCTGTTGCAAAAGGAACCACATAAGAGACGGAGGTAGTATATACAGTCGGGCGACTTGCGTTCAGGGCTATTGTGGTAATATACAAATACATATATTTGTATGATGGGTATGTTCATTGTTTGCTTCCGGTAGTGTTTAGCAGGAGCGAGCTCTTTATTAGGACTACACATGATGGGTTGAAACAGTGCTAATATTTCGTCCTAGTCACACCATGAGTGAAAGGACACACACTGGACTTTGAGCGAAAATGGATAGACTAGAAACTCTAGAGAGACCCACGATAGAGACAGCTGTATGGACTGTGGCTGGTAGGTACTGGGCGGAGACCTCACCTCGGACCAGTCGCGAAGTTCATAACCTATGGTCAGCATCCTTGCTTATCAAGGACTTGGAGAGCAAGGATAAACTAGCAAGGCTGGTAGGTCTTTATTTCTAATGCTATATTTCTGACTTAGTCATTGAACGGCATTGAAGCAGAGTAACTGGGACCCGGGCCTAGAACAAGGTCCAAAACGACATCTTACCTACAGTTTTTCAAGATTACAGTCGGGTCTTAATAGGGTAAAAGAAACAACCACAGGGCTGGTGGGCCTAGAAATAGAATTAGTATCTGGTAAAGCACTGCTTAGGGAATGTATGAGGGAGCTCATGGAAAGACTGTTTAAGAGCTGAGCTAAGGTTGAGCTTGACGCTGACTAGGGAATCGCTGAGTTTCGTCTCAGGATAACAGAGCATCTGAGCTCCAGCCGGCCCAAGACTCGATGTGTTGTGGCGCTGCTGGTGCATGCATCTTTCTGAATTCACACACATTTGTCTCACTATTGACTTTCACTGCACAGCCCCCTGGAGCTCAACATGTCAACAGTATGCAGGCCAATTGTCTGTAGGGAAGACCCTGCCAGCCTCGCGTAAAATTTGCCGTAGTTTTGGCGCTGCAAAACAGAGGTGGCGAAGTGGAAAAGTGTAATTTAGGCAGCATGAACCTCCGCCACGTAAGGCAGCTTTTCCGTCGGTAGGCGAACGGTGGTTCGCATCATTGCTCAACTACACGAATGCAGGCTGGCCTGACGGCAGCGGGACGGCATGTGCAACAAGAATATGCTAGAGGGTGTCCAGGCCTACACAGTGTCACTGGGTGGATTGCAGTATAGAACATTTGCTACCTGAAGCCTTCTTCGTGCCAGCCTCCTTGCTTTCCACCTGTACAAGGAGGCCTCAATTGCACGCCTGAGGTACAGTGACAACCCGCACCTCACCGCTTCTATCCTTCTGCTAGGCCTGATTGCTGTCTATTCCCGACTTATCCTCTTTTGTCGAGTCACGCTGGAAGCTAGGATCCATGCTGCAGTTCTATGAGGCGTGCGCTTGTCTGCACCCAATTCAAATGAATCTTTCTGCCTTGCTCAACGGACAGGCTCCTGAGAAGAGTTTTGCAAATCAATCGAACTTCGCGTCTAGCAATGCAGGCGACAGCAGCATTGAAGACGGCCATGGATGAATCATATCAGTTTCTCCTCGAACCTCGAGTGAGACGCTTCGAGGACCTATTGCCTCGGCAGCAATTAGAAGCGTTCAAGAGGACCTCTCTTGTGGACGTCAAGCGCCATATCATTGCTATGCAAAGAAATCAAGATCAGAAGAAAACACTCATGGATCTCTCTAGATTGCAGGCTTTTATAGAAGCAATGAGTCAGTTCACTCTGGTATGCGAAGATGTGGAGATGGATCGGCCGGAGTTGTCGTGCTTCATTTGGGGGCCTTTAATGTTTATCTTAAGGGTAAGTCGTCAAAGTTGGGAAGCTGCAAAAATCGCAATAGCTGACTACTCCCGGGGAAGCTCGCCAATGAGTTGTCACAGGCCTTGGATTCTACGTTAGACTTCTATCTAGATTTTGGCAAGAGAATACCACTACTTGTCCCACACAAAGACATGTTACACCAATCTACTTATGCGAAGAAGTTTCTTGGTTTCATATACATCGATCTCTTAGATTTTCATTCGCGCATTCTAAAGCTATTTGCAGAGAGAAGTGAGTATTTGGTTGAAGGCGAATGCTCTCTTTGACGCTAATCGAAACCACATAACAGATTGGAAGCGCACATTTTCTGCAACCTGTGGCGACTACCAAAGATCTTTCAAACTAGTGATGGAAAAGTTAGAGCGGCATGAAAGATTCCTAAACGACCTGATACGACAACACCACGACCGCAATATACAAAGCTCAGCTGGACGATTGATTAATCATATCCTGCGCGACGAACCAGGTCAGGACAGCCTTCGCGCAATACTCTTTGATTACGAAGAAGACAGACAAACATGGCGAGAGATGTTCGAAGCACAGGAAACATCCCGCAAAGACGAAAGTCGCGTGACTATCAAGCGCTGGCTATCTGACAGTATTGACGAGAGCATAGATCATAATCGCTTTCGGAAGATTAGAGATGAGTTTCCAAATGCAGGTTCCTGGATCTTACAAGATCCTAAGATTAAAGATTGGATGGACAATGAAACCCCTAAAAGCTCGTTATTGTGGATCAACGGTAAATTAGGAGCAGGCATGTATTCCAACCTTCAGTCATGCAAGATGTTGGGACTAATATGAAAGAGACTAGGCAAGACTATACTTTGCAGCCGCATTATCGATCATCTCGATGACGAAAAGTACAAAGCGAATACTGGTTATTTCTACTGTCGAGGCAATGAGCTGAGAGGTAGCAATTGTCTGAGTCTCTACAAGAGCTTATTGAGACAGCTCGTCGACCAAAACGAGGACCTTCTTCCTATTTTCCAAGCTAAAAAATCCCGCGATAGAGAGGTTCTGGTAGATGAGAATCTAGCAAAATCTCTCATTGATCTGTCTTACGAAATGAACACAGAACAGTACATCGTGATTGATGGTTTGGATGAGCTTCCGGACCGCGAACGTATCGATATGGTGCAATTCTTGGTCTCCATTGTTGACAAAAGCAACGACCACACGCCCGGCAAGATCCGACTCCTGCTTATAAGCCAAGATCTTGCGGACATGAGAAAACTGATGAAAACCTCTGCCGAGATCTTGGATCTTAAAACGTCAGACACGGAGGACGATGTGAAAGTGTTCGTTGACAAACGGCTGGAGAGGCTCAAGGACAGATTCGATCTATCTGAGCAGCAGACTCTACAAATTCGACTTCTTGTTTTGAGAGGGACGAATGGTAAGCGAAACTCTACTTTTGCAGGCGCAAACTGACCATATCATAGGCATTTTTCTCTACGCTTTTCTCGTATTGGAAAACCTTCTTGAGCAGTTCACTAAAGAATATCTTCTACAAGAACTTCATGTAGACAAATGGCCCAGTGACCTTGGAGATGTGTAAGTTCGTGTCCGTATATAAAGCATACTAGAAGGCTAGCGAGCCTACTGCCAGTCCCCAGTCACAACTAAAGGGTTACTGACACGAGTATCTAGGTATGGGAGGATTATTGAAAGGCTTAAAAGCAATCATCGATCAAACGGTTGGCTTATTGCCAAGAAGGTCTTCAGTTGGTTGGCGTGCGCTAAGCGGCCACTTACGTGGCATGAACTCCAAGCGGCCTTGTCAGTTTACGTCGACCAGGCATTTCAGCCGAATTTCAGCCAAGACCGTGGAAAATTGCGTAAAGACATCCGCGAAATATGTGGTTCTCTCATTCACGTCATGGAGGGAAATCGAATCGACTTCATTCACCAAACCGCGCAACAGTAAGAGCATTCAATATCTGATAGAATGCTCTAAATTGGGTTGATATTGACAAATCATTAGATACATCATCAGAGAAGAAAACATCGACGCAAGAGCAATAGAATGCGACCTAGCATTTTTATGCCTGAACTATCTGTCTCTCGAGTGCTTTCACGGCGATGCTGATGAAGACCAGATCGAACATTACGCGATAAATGGGTACTATGCATTTCAAGATTATGCAGTCTCCAAATGGATGGATCATGTCGAAACAGTAGTCACAGGGAAAACAATTGGACTACTGCAGGATCCTTTAGTTGGACGAGAATATCAACAAAATGCATCTCAGGCTCTTCAAAGATTTCACGAAGTCTATGGAAATGAAATAAATGCGGCAGGAATCCAAGATCAGTTCTCGTCATTAACGAATTTGGTTACCCCGCGAGAACAATGTCAAGCATTCACCAATTACGATTTCCACGAACAGCTCGTGGCTGTCTGGGCGAGCATAACTAAGCATCAATCGTTACCATCGAAGGAAAAAGACAAGCCAAGCCTTCCAGGACTCGTGGATGCCTTGAAAAGAACACGTAAGGTGCTTGAGAATATGTTTGAAAAGTCGGACATAGACGAAGAGTCCGAGAGGCTCGAGCGCTTGTACGGAACTCGGATCTACAAGTGTGATCATTTGCGATGCAAGTACTTTTATGAGGGCTTCGAAGTCCGTGAGGTGAGAGACAATCATTTGAATAGGCATGACCGACCATTCTTGTGCCCCGTTCCGGGCTGCTCTATGATTCCTTTTGGATTCTCTACAGGCCGAGACCAGGAAAAACACGTGCGCAATTATCACCCAGATCAATCTGATCAACCTTCCGGATTCCGACGATTGGAACGTGAAGTTCCCGCGAATGGTAGATTCACATGTGAGCTTTGCTCGAAAAGCTTCACTCGGTATGCAAATCTAGAAGGGCATAAGAACAGCCATCTAGGGCAACGGCCATATGCCTGCACAACTTGTGGAAGAGGATTTGCTCGTATGAACGATCGCAGAAGACATGAGAGAGTTCATAGAAGGCGATGAAAGTTTCATACCAAATAGTATGACAGGCAACTTGGGAAGGATTTCATAGGATGGTTTCAACTTTTTTGAACTATTATAGCAGCCGGCAGTTAGATACTTGCTACCGTCGCAAACACCATTGCCTCCACCCCGGCTTAGTCTCCATAATATATACCCGTGAAAATGATCTTCCCTGAATCATTAGCCATGATTGAAAAAATGAATGGCCGGTCAAATATCAAGATTGTCGGATTTTGCGGACGGCTCCGTTTCATCATCACAGCTGTAGCGGCTGCAGCTGTTGTGCCTTTCTCGTCAACTTTAACAAACGCCTTATGGACTACTTCCTCAACGAAACAATCGCCAGTCCCCATGTGTGGAAAAGCTTGGTCGACAGGGAATCCAAGTTCTCTTAAGGATGCCTTCAAAGTGTAATCGCCCAGGATCTCGAATCTTGGAAACCCAAATTGATTATATTTAGATTTGGAAAAGACATCATCTAGGGGTTTTACCCCCTCCACTTTGATCGTATCAATGACTTCCTCAAAAGAAGACTCAGCTTTCGGCAGATAAGCGACCAAGGAAATTCCATTGTTGGACGTCTCAGATGTTCCATATGGTAGTCGCACCGCATCATAAGTTGGAGTCAGACGGCACCATATTTTAGTGTTTTGCAGGTACATCATACGGACAGACCTGCGCTCTTCCTTGCTTAGATGAAACGCAACCGATTGGGTGTATCTTTCATCGAACTTGTTTTCCCATGAACCTTTGAAAGCCAAGGCGTTCACAATGACCGTGTGAATATTCCTCAACAGCGACTTGCTAAGCATGTTTTGTATCAAACCCTCTGTTTTATCGGAAATCCATGAGTTTATACCATCCACTTCTTCTGCAAGGTTGGAGTACTGGATGAACTCAGCATGGAATCCTTCAAGGAATGTCTTGTAATCGTCGAAGACCGTGAATGATTTATCCGCGAAAATGGCATTAGCGACGGAAACGGATGATGTCATACTTGAGTCACTAGAAGTTATCAGACTTGAGATGGACTGGAGCTCTTCATCTCTTTGTACACCAAGCTTTTCGAGTAGCTTTTTCTTCGTATCATCCTCAGCAGCTCCAGTTAGCAGGCTGAGAGCCACGACGATAGATAAGGGAGAGAAGAATAGCGACTGTGTGTTTTTGGAAGCGCCTAGTAGCCTGGGCAGCATAGCCCAGGCCAGGTTCGATATAGCCGAGGCTGGAGATGCCATGTTCCCCTTGTTTGGTTCTTGTTGCTACCAACAAGGGTGAAACGAGCATGGAGACCTGTTGCGTTGTCCCACTGAAGGAGTTGTGCGGTGGGTAATCTTAGCAAATGTGCTTAATTTAGTCTAGATAGGTGCCAAAGTACTCTGAAATCACGTGTGCTCCTAAAGGGGACTGACAGATTCGCCTTATTCTGGTTCGTGATTAGATACAGTATATACGACGTATCACCTCTCACTTAGATGGACAACCTTGCCAGTCAGTGCTAGGATATTGGAGTTAATGATTGTGATACATTTACCAAGTTGTGCACTTTTCTTATCTGGAAGTCCGCGGCGCGCAGTCCTTGCGACAAGGCGCTAATATTGATTAAAGAACGAGCATTGATCTACTTATTTGAGGATGAACTCTTGTACCGGTGGAAGATCTAAATCCAACCTGTTGTTGCCTGAGTCAAAAACCTCGCCATCCATGATGCCATAAGTGAACGTGTCGCCCACAAGTTTGAAGAGCCCGTGTCCTTCTTCCCGAAGAATGACCGGGGCGTTGCATCCTTGCAGTACCACCACTAGATCACCAGCCTGGACACCCTTTGTCGCAGCCCCAAAGAGATCCCGTTCTGTCTCGAACAACTCGCGGCCCGTCATAGTATACTTCTGAATAGCTTCTCGAATGGTTTTCATAGTCATGATAGCAAGCTCAACGCTGTCACGTCCCTCGGCCCGGACGGCATCGCGAAATGTTATTAAGGTCTCGTATTTTGGATAGGAAGCAGCGAGCTCGCTTCCTTCCTTGAGAAACCTGAGGTTGATGTCGAACCAAACCTCCTCCGACCTTTTGTCCTCATACATGACATCTCCAAGATAGCCCCATTGAAGACATACGAGAAGCAAAAATCCTTCTGCCATCTGGAAAAAGATATTGGGCATCTCAGTTTCTTCCGAGGTAAGGCTAACATCTACAAATCGGATCCGATAGTCATGATCTAGGAGTCATGTCTTGAAAAGAACATTTAGGAATGTATGTCCCGATGGGTGAATAGGATCAGCGCCAGCGGTAACACCTGGTGATGAAGTAGTCTTGTCAGCTTGGACTTGTATTAGAATTGAAAAACATCACACGTGAAATACCCACCGCTAACGAGAGCCCATATCAGTAGAGCGGTATTGTTCATTTCTATATCATGAGTGAGGAGTACCTTGTCAACGACGATGCCGCGAACACGCAACATATATTTTTCAGATACCTCATTGCCATTGTCTATTAAGTTGGTGAGATCTGAAAGTAGCTCTTGGCCTTTGCTAGCATTGTGAATACTCGGTGGTCGGCTGAGAGGCATAGGTATTGGCTCGACTCTCTAATCTGGGACCCATGATGGTAAGTCCAGCTTCCCCATTTCCTGTTTCAGATGACAGCGAATAGAAGCTTCCCCCAAGATGTCGAAACTATCACTTGTAGAAATGTGTGCCCGGGCAAAATCTGTGTAGACGTCCAGAAGTGACTTTGAATAATCTGGAGACGGGAAGCTATCGGCGTCTTTTGCTAGACCCATGATAGAAAATAGATGGTCTTTTGGGTCGGAGCATTTGAATTGAGCTGTGCTTTGAAGCATGGATATCATGAAGCGTCTTGACTTCTTCCATTTGTCTGTCTCGTCGGCATTCGTGAATGGCACGAGGACCCGGATTTTAGAGGCTTTGATCTTGTCTTCTTGCTCGACTGTTAGAGATGATAAAATATCCGCTTTGCGCATGACCTGATACCAGGCCTCTTCAAGCCCTTGAAACTTGTCCCAGCCTACAACATCAGAGCCACAGCAAACTTTCACAGTGCGGCCTAACAATACCTCTTGGAGAACCCAGCGTCGTTGCCAATATGGCCGGTTGAAGAGGTTATCTATTGTAGACCACTTGGGCGCATCGAACCCGCCAGCTATGACTTGTCTAGCAGATATCGTTCACCCTTGAGTTCCGGACCACCCCATTCTTCAACAGTTGACATAGCCAGGGCACTGTCTGCTGATTCCCTTCCTAGCCAGACAATGACAGAGGCGGCTTCCTCGAATATACTGGCCATCATCGAGACTTGGGCACTTTTTTTCCGCGGCATCAGCTTGGTTGATACATATTGCATCTGCCCAAAGAAGTATTGCTTCATCCTCTACTCTAACATGTTGTAGCGCTACGGCAAGGTTGACTGGGACAGGAATGTGAGCGTTGTCAACTTCGATGGTCCTCGTCGTTGAGGAATTACCCCAAACGTAAGATAATGCATGGTAAGCGGGCCGACCTGGATCATCCAGAGAGATGTGTTCGACACTACAATGCACTAGTACTTCAGGGTTGTTGGACGGGGAGAGTCGAATCTCCCGGTGTGTAACCCTAAGATAGTGGTATAACTTAGGCGGTGAGACTGCGGAGGATGGAGGGGCTTCTTCGTTCATTTCTGCCAAGAATTTGCTCGCTTTTGAACCGTAAGTTGTAGATGCCACATCAAATATTCTTGTTGGCTCTTCAGTAGATTCCTTGCCTCAAATTGTCGTGCTTACTGTCAAAGTCGGCTGCCTTACGGTATTGCCTACGTAGGTACCTTGGTAGACAAGGTAGACAGCCTCCAGACATTGGCTTGGTTATCGAATGAACAGGTGGGGGCGGGGTAATTAATGTCTTGCTGGAACCCATCTTGCCTCAACAACTATCACCGACAGCATAGAGCCTACAAAGTAAACACTGTAAGTAACTCTATCAAAGCCAGTCAATGTGTACTTAAATATGTTATCTGAATGATCTTTCTATTCTAATGGCTAACGATGACAGCGGCTTTAAAGTTAGCTTAATTAGATGTCTTTGACTGGGAATTTAAACTCTTGTTTTGCCGATTTTGCAGACAGCAAATCCACCGTACTGAAGAACAGCAGCTCCTATCAAAACACCATTGTATGGGTCAAGAGCCATTGCTGTCATATCGCTTACCACGCTTCCATCATCGAAATAAATCAACTCTGGCTTGTAACCTTTTGCTTTTGTAAGCCGCAGAGCCGCGGCAGGTGCAAGTAGCTCCTTGCCCAGCATTTGAACATTGGCCAAATAGCTCGGCAGATCTTCGAGAGTTGGGAATACTAATATATCTGATTAGCCTTTGCACTATAGTAATGATCCGGGGCTTCTCATACTCGAGACTATCAGATCTCCAGTGGTCGGGTCTACATTTATATTGTCCGCGGCAGCACCCAGCTCCTAAATGTAAGTCTATTGTTAGCCACTGACTAACTGTAACAACTGCAGCCTGTCGTCGAGACACTTACAACTTGATCGATAATATCCGTTCCCCTATCCGACCGGAGTCGATAAATGGTGATGGTTCCGTTCTTGGAGTCGCCCACAAACATGCGATCCTCCCAGACTGCGAGGCCGTTGGCTCCGGGATATGTCTTGGTTACCTGTCGACAATGAACGTCCTGCCAATTTACATTAGTAAATATTGCAATCTTTCTCTGGTGGGCGTATGAGAGCTTGCCGTATGCGACGCTTCACAGTATTGGACATGCGTTGCCCACGTCCAAGGTCCGAATTTCTCCTCAAGATCGCGAAGAGGACCTTTCACAAAATAGTGATCATTGGTCAGGTAGAACTCGCTGCTCACGTAAGCACTCTCTGTATCAATATGAAAGGCATGTACAGACTCACAACTCGCCAACCGCTGCAACGCCGTTTGCCGTCTTGATCCCAGGATGTTTAACGTCCCGGACCAGCTCCACCACATCCGATCCAAGCTTGTGAGAAAAGATACTAATAGAGTCACCATCTCGAGCATGTCTGACAGCAAATATATGGATCTATGTATTCTCGTCAACATGTTAGGTCCTTGGATCGAACTTTTAGGCTGATTGAACTAACCTTTGACGGGTCAGACGGAGACTGGAAAAGGTCGATGCCGTGTGTCACAAAGTCTCCATCGAGGCCTTTGATATTTAGCTCCACTGTACGACCAGTTTTGATGTCATGTTTGAAAAGATGTTCGCGGAATGTCACCTCAGGGCGCGCGGCGACATCTCGAACGCAGGCAGGGGGATACCACCGCGCCCGTCCCATGGGATCGCCACAAGCTACAAATGCTGTGCTCGAAGCAAAATGAATCTTGACATCCTCACACGCGTTGGCAGCACTGATCACGGTGCATTCACCGTTGTTAAGTGCAGTGCTATTCTCCCATTGGTCGAGCTTAGTCGGGTCAATGTTCACATGGCCTACGAGCTTCTCGGCAAACGCCCGAAGATCGCGGTGGAGCCAGGCTGACGCGAGAGCAAGTAGAAGCACTCCGAGTGCGGAAGGCAAGTTATGACGCCAAGACATGGCCTGCTCTGATTTTGAGACGAACAATGATTAGAGAATCGCGACTCGGAGTAAATATATTTGGCCCTGGCAGGGAGTCTTGTACTAAAAGCTTTATCCTTGTTCGGACCATTGCGGAGCGACATCGCGGAGCCCCAACTCGACTAGAGTATTGATCGGCGTAGACTTTAACTCGGGAATAACTAGCTTCATCCATCTCGGATGTCAGCATGCCGTCTCCTCATGCCCCGTGGGGGAAGTTGGAGAAAGCATAAAGGCTTGCCATGTGCCTCAGACTTGCGGTGCCTGCAAGGGAGGAGTGTTTGCCCAAGATAGGGTTTGTACTTTTACGCATAGACCAAAATGGCGGCACACCGACGAACTACTTACAGCTATATGATTGTTGCCTTCGTGGCATTGGGGTCTCTTACATTCGGATACTCCAATGTCATTATTGGCACAACATTGGCACAGCCAACATTCATCTCTTACTTCAACATTGACAAGCTCGAAAACTCGGACGCGATCTCTGGTGCAACTAGTGGAATTTATACAGGAGGTGGACGTACGTGGCCAAATCGTGACAAGGCGTATTTGTGACATCATAGCTGATTACAGTGAATAGTCTTAGGAGCTCTGTTCTCATCTTGGTCCTCCGAACGCCTTGGATGCAAGAAAGCTATCTTTATCGGCTCTCTACTAGCCACCGTTGGAGGCGCTCTACAAGCAGGTTCAGTCGCTATGGCCATGTTCTTGGTGTTTCGCTTCGTCAATGGTCTTGGAGTCGGTAAGATCATGGCTACTCTCACCTTGAGAAAGTCATCAGCATTAAGTCATTGATAGGTATGCTACTGTCACTTGTTCCACAGTATCAGAGTGAAGTCTCTGCACCACACTCCCGGGGTTTAATGGTGGGATTCCATGGCATCTGCGTCACGATAGGATACTTCTCAGCCAGGTAGATTGACAGTTCGCAATTTCATGGTTCTGGTCTACTCACAATGTTCATTTAGTTGGATTGGATTCGGATTCTACTTTGTCACGTCTCTACACGGCGCAGAGTGGAGACTACCATTAGCTATTCAAGCTGTTCCACCGCTGTTTTGCACTCTGGGCATCATGTTCTTGCCAGAATCACCTCGATGGCGTAAGGATTTATCCTCATTCTTGGTCACATAACTCTAATCGAGAATCTTCAAGTCATTTCGCGCGACCGATCAGAGGAGGCACTCGCCATCGTTAGGAAGCTTCATCACGATCCCAGTGACCCAGATGATACATTTGCTTTCAGAGAATTTCAACAAATCAGACAACAATTCGAGATCGACCGCCAGAATGCTGTCTCGTGGACTCAACTGTTCGCCAAACCTTCGTACCGTAAGCGAATGATCATCGGCTTTATTGTGTTGTTTGGGGCACAAACGACTGGTACCACAGTCATCGCAAGTAAGGAGCCATTTACAATACCAGACATTCAGAGCGAGCTTCTAACCCTTTGACTAGATTATGGTCCCGAGCTGTACAGCAGGCTAGGATTCGACACCACGAAACAACTTCTCCTGGGTGGCGTATACGCAACGATCGCTCTGTGTGGAAACTTTTTCAATGCCCTTACTGTCGACCACGTGGGTCGTGTGAAAGCATTGAAGATTGGCTGGATCGGTGATTTGCTGTCTTTGATAGGAGAATGCGTTGCGCTCAGTATGTTCGAGAGAACAGGGTCTCGTCCTACCGCAATCGCGAGCGTGTTCTTTTTGTTCTCTCACATCGCGTTCTTCGCTTTCAATATTGACGTGACAACGTAGTAAGCTTTGCACCCCTACACCACGTATCCCTCTCTATCCTGAGGCCGATTCTAATTGTATGGGCAGTGTCTACACCTCAGAGATCTTCCCGAACCATATTCGATCCAAGGGAATGGCATGGTCCATCGTGTCTTACTTTGCGTCGCTGATCATCTATCTACAAGTGGCACCTACGGCCTTCGCCTCCATTGGATGGAAGTTCTACCTCGTCTTCCTCATCTTACTGTTTTGCTTTATTGTTCCCCTCTTCTTCTACTTCCCTGAGTCGAAGGGGCTTAGTCTGGAGGAGATCTCACGTCTGTTCGGCGATGAGACCACAACGATCAGCCTCGAAGGTCCCAACACTCTTGAAGAAAAGGTTGCAATTTCTGAGCAAGTGGAGAGACAGCAACAAGAGCAGGCTAATCCATAATGGAGCTTGCAGTGTACGTTAAGATGGTGGCACTCAAGTAGAGATTACTTGGCAGGGCTGTCCGGACATGATGATCACATTAGCGTAGCGGTAGAGCTGCAGCGTTTGTGTATAGGACCTGGTCTCTCGCAAAGTACTGCCAAAGGATGCAAGAGAGCACAATCCGGTAAGAAAGTGCGAGCCGATTTTAGTGGGGAAAATGCTCAAGCGCGGTTGTACTACAATAACAAAGTCTTGTTACATTGTGGCTTGAGCATCCTACAAGCGTATCCTTAGGAAGAGCATTTCGGGTCGTGCATGTTTACGTTTTCAGCGCTACCTAGCGAATGACCGCCCTTCTCGCCAATGACGGTCTGGAATGGAGAGGACTTCAAGTGAATGGTGTAAAGCAGTACGAACGCCAAATACTTGAGTCGAATCTCTCAGTGCGAATACTCAAATGATTCAAGGCTCTAATAGCTCATAGTGACTCCAAACTTGAGATTCTATAGGTATAAATAAAGTCGCGACAGAAAGCTTGTGACCTCCACTGCCCCGGGCTTGGGCTCCCTCAGGTGGGATCTGCCCCGAGTGCCGGAGGCGGTGACAGCCAGTAAGCCAAACCCCACGAGTTTACATTTTACGACAGGCGGCTTGTAGGCCCACTTAGGGCATCCTAATACCTGAATTGTGTTATGATGATCACGGTCTTGATGGTGTTAGTGCTCTCCTTAGTTCATTGAAAGACATTGCTATTTGAGTCACACGGCAACACTATAACGATTACCGAGGAACGAAGGATTTTCTTCTCATCGATCATGGCCATCGCCAGTGACCAAGCTCGCGTAAATTCCGGTTTGGTCTGTACCCGAGCGATAGCAACCGCTTAGCCTAAGCTGCAGTGTGTTCGTGAGCCATCTCTAACACAGGTATAGAATCGTTTTGGCGCAAGTTTCGGAGGCTCCCTGACACAGTATCGGGAAGAGTCGGAGGAAGAAATGAAGATTGTTTAGTTAGGTATAGATGATCAATAAGGACTTTGTTGAAGTCGACGTGGCACCGCCATTCGCACCTCTCTCGTGGACAACATGTGTCACATTAACGGGCGCTGATACATACATTGGTCACTCAAGTGTTTGTTAGCTATCCTGACTCTATTGCTTGCTCGATATCGTCAACTCCACTGGCTGACACATCTCTACACGTCTTCGATAATACGTCCTATGCTTTATTGCGAGAAGACATCGTAACATCCTGCTGTTTAACTACTCATTCCAAGGTTCGTGGAGTAACTCTAGGTCGATCTGGCTAATCTCTTTTAGGTATTTAGTAAGATCCTTCTCATCTCTCACTCTATCCCTCTCAGTCGATCCGTTGCCAAAGTATTCAAACCTATTCTTTTGCGCACCAGGCCGCCGTGCAAACTCAAAATCCTCCCAGCGAGGATCACGTAACGCGGCCGCACGATGATGAAATGATCCGGGCCATGCAATGAGCACACGTGTGTTCCCCTTGCCTTGCTTGAACCAGCTATTGCATTTGTCGCCGGTTACCTTGCTATCGAAGTAGCCATTAACAATATCATTAAATTCTTCTGTGGCATCTTCGCGCGTATCGAGAGACGCGTAACTCTGTGACTGAACTTTCCGGATACACTTGGCGATGTATGTTGCTGTAACCTCGATATGAAGAGGTACTGTGCCTCCTCTAGCGTTGCCTTGGGCCTATCAATTCTATTAGTGGAGTGATGCTTGTGATCATGGGATATTATATCCCATGATCACAAGATACCAATTCGAGCGTGCCAGAGCCTCAAGATAATTCGTGTTATTGATACGATGACGGACAAAAATTCCGCCATCCTGGTTGCTACCAGTGATTCGCTTGTGCGGCCCGAGTGTCTGCCTGGAAAAGAACAACCGAATAGAGAGTTCGGAAAGAAAGGTTTCTTCGCCTGGTTTAATTCAAACGATGGACCGCTTGAGCGACGACTAATCCTGAAGCTGGACTTCTTTATTCTAACATATGCCTTCATTGGCTTCTGGGTAAGCATGGGCTGAAAATCGCATTGCTACAATTTATCCTGACTAGCTGAAGATCCTGTACATTGATAGAGGCATTCTCGCCAATGCCTATATCAGCGGCATGAGAGAGGGTGAGTGCTATCCTTCAAACGTGTGTAGTAGATTACATGTTCGTGGCTTTCCTAACAAATGCATCGTTAATTAGAGATTAATAGTGTATATCATTGCTTCAATTATGACGTTCCCAATTGCAGCCTGGGGGGCAGTGTCCTTTCCGGGAACCCCGAAGGACGGCAAGCAATGGTTCTTCACACAAGAGGAGTTCGACTTAGCATCAAGTAGGATGGCTCAAGAAGGACGTCTCAATCCGAAAGGTTTAACTCTATCGCTCACTTCTGTCAAGAGATTCCTTGGCCGTTGGCACTTTTGGGTCCTGATACCTTGGAACATATCGTGGCTTATGGGGTATGAAAGCATGATCACCGGTAGTCCAACGCTTTGGCTGAGGAGCAACTCCCAATACTCTGTCGTCCAGGTCAACAACTTTACCGTAAGGACTTGGCCTTGTTGCAACTTCCCAATGCTCTCACAGTGTGCTAACTAAAACTAGGCAATCAGACCTAGCCTCGGAATCATTTTCATTCTAACATTTTCGTGGATTGCGGACAAGGGAGGTCACAAAGCCATCGTTTACGTTGTTGGATTTGTCTGTGCGCTCCACTTCATCTCGAAGTTTGCCTGGATTATGTATGATCACACATCTTTTGGCTACAAATGGTAACAGCACCTTTCCTGACTTGGCGCTTAACAAAAAGCTAACAAGATACTCTGTAGGTTTGCAACTGCGATTAGTTATATCGAGGTGTCATTATCCCCCATCAACTATAGCGTAGCGAATCTGGCTTGCACGTCGGATGCTGAAGAGCGTGCTTTCATTGTAAGCTCTATGCTAGCTATCAGCACGGCATTCGGCGTGTGGGTTCCTCTTCTTGCATTCCCGACAGTTCAAGCACCGCGGTTTTTCAGAGGTTACGCTATGGAGGCGGTACTGCAGTGGACGTATTTTGCTTGGACTTGCTTCGTGGTGTGGTATTCTGAACGTGATGAACGGAAGCGAAAGGAGAAAGATACATTGTCTGCTACGTCTGAGTGAGGAAATCCAACTGTGGGCATGGCGGCATGGGAGTGGATGGTTGTTGTGATCGTAGGAAGAGACTACAGTAGTTTGAGCTCTAGTTTACTTAAGTGAAATCTCTGAACGTCTGCACATGGGATAGCTATTTTCCAAATATTTGAAGTAACAAGGCTAGCACACGTTGTCCAAGACTGAGCGTAAATGGCTCTTTCTTCATTCCTGCCAAGCCCGTGCCGCAACGGTGATTTGTACACGGGACACAACTCGGGCGCTCTTATGCAACAGTTCTCAGAAAATGAGATCGTTATCTTTCGAGAAAAAAGAAAAAAAAAGATGGCCCACACAAAGTAGCATCAAACCTCGAGATTGGACTGTTATGTCGAGTATTCGGCGATGTTGTCAGTTGCGCGATTTCGGGCGTCACGCCATCACTACCACCAAAGACACCATGGGCTCGAGTGCATCACGCTGTCTCACTAGCATGCGAAACTATCCCATAACAGCATTACCGAATGGTTTATCTCCGATAGCAAATGTCATATCGAAGAGCAGTTTCATTTCAGTTCCTTGCAGATATATCCCCTTGATACATGTTTTACTAGGCACACTACACCATTTTGCTTCAAGTCCAGGCTAGGCAAAATTAAGACAGGATGCCGGTGACTGACGCACCCGCTCAAGAGTCGACGCCGTTAGAGGTGCTCCAAGATAAGGTGGAGGGTCAGCGTAGGCATGGATACACTGCTGATGGGAAGCAAAAACGCATGCTGCTCAATGTGTTCGATATGAATGGTATTGGCCATATTAGGTCAGTATGCCATGTTTTCGCACCTTGATTGGCAAAGTCACCATTGAGAGAACAGAGAAGAGATTCTAACGTGTTCTCAGCGTGGGTCAATGGCAGAATCCCGAAGACAAAAGCTCCCAGAAGAACAGGCTTCCCTATTGGATAGAGCTGGCAAAACTTTTAGAGAGTGGAAAGTTCAATGCTCTATTCTTAGGTATTCACAACAAAGAAGCGAGACTTATCTCAACACTGCTAACGAGATATATCAGCCGATAATTTTGGCTCTCATGATGTCTATAAGGGTAGCCATGCTCCAGCGATTCGATCTGGTACACAGTGGCCTTTATATGACCCCTTTGTGGTATGCTGCATGCCGAATGGTTGTATTTAGTCTGGACACTGACAAAAATAGATCATTTCAGCCATGGCGGCAGTCACTGAGAATCTTGCGTTTGGCATCACGGCATGTACGACCTTTGAACCGCCCTTTATTCTGGCAAAGAGATTTTCAACGTTAGATCATATTACCAATGGTCGAATAGCTTGGGTTCGTGTGCACTGCTATATAACAGAATCCAACAGTTCTTCAAAGCATCTTTTGCTAATAGCCGACTCTTAGAATATTGTGACATCGTGGAGTAATAATGCTGCCCGTGCAATGGGCTTAGAGCAGCTACCGGAGCATGATCTTCGATATGAGATGGCGGACGAGTACCTCAGCCTTGTGTACAAGTATTTATCCTTCCCATATCAGCTGTTTTCTGCTTTGACTGATCGTATCATCCAGCCTCTGGGAGGGCTCTTGGGCTCAAGATGCTGTGGTTCGTGATGTGCAAACCAATACTTACACAGATCCCTCAAAAGTTCGCAAGATTGATCATCAAGGTCGTTTCTTCAAATCAGTGTCCGCTCATCAGGTTGATCCCAGTCCACAACGTACGCCCGTCCTTTTCCAGGCAGGCATGTCATCTGCTGGTGCATCATTTGGAAGCAAGCACGCTGAATGCATTTTCATTGGAGGGCCAAACCCGACATTCGTAGGTAACAAGATCAAAAAGACTCGTGAGCTGGCGGCATCTCATGGCCGCCGCCCTGAAGATCTTAAGTTCTTCGTACAGTTCACTCCGATCCTCGCCGAGACCGAGGAGGAGGCTCAGGAGAAGTATGAACGTTACAAACAATACGCGATTCCAGATGGCGGATTGGCTCTTTTTGGTGGCATTTCAGGCATCGACGTGAGCAAGTTCTCGCAGGACGAGGAATTCCCAGCCGATCCAAACCATCCTCTTTGGGAAGGCTTTACGCAGCAACAATGTGAGGCGCTTCTAGCAAGGCCAGTCGGCTACGATCGTTGGACGCCCCGAACTCTTTCGGAGTTCCGGTTTATTGGCGGTAGTGGGAACTTCAAGATCGGAACTGGCAAAACAGTAGCAGATGAGTTAGAGAAGTGGATCACAATCGCGGATGTGGATGGCTTCAATATCGGACATGTCGTTGTACCGGGGGCTTGGGAGGACGTGATTAAATATCTCATCCCTGAGTTGGAGAAGCGAGGTTGGCTAGGGACCGGCGATTACCCGGCACGAGGTGGCACTGCTAGGGAGAACTTATACGGGACGCCTGGCGATGGTCTTCTACGACCAGGACATCCAGGACGACAGTATAAATTTGAGAATTATGACGGGGTCAGATAAATAACTTCCGTATAGAGAAACATGTAAGTATACTAGTTCGTGCCTTCACATCATTAGCATACTTGCTTTAGTCCACGACGAGAGTTCGAGGTGCCTTTGGCGACGCGCGCATATCCCCGGCCTTGTTTTGGAAGACGCGTAGTAACCAAACACCTAGTAAAGCTGCTTTGAGGCGTCTGAGCACTAAATGGTCGACCTGAGACAGTGGGTAATGAGGGGCTCCTCCTGGGGAAACCACCTGGACATAGGGTCAAGCCAGCGAAATGTGCCATATTTGAAAGCCTTCGTCGGAAAGCAGTGAGTGTGACGTTTTCACCACGGACTTTTGATGCGGCTTTTAAGAAACGGACTTTAAGCTTCGGGAAGATGGGAATTGGTGCCTCGCACCATTCGCAGTATCGTCTTTTGTCATAACACTCAATCAAGCATGTGCCAAGAATCGATAAGCTTACGCTGACATCGTGGTATATTTCCGGCTTTACGATCGACAGGCTTTGCAGAAGAAACAGACGAATGACAAGCATGATGAAGACAATCGAGCACCATTGTCCTTCGTTGAGCTCTCGTGTGTTAGCAGAGAGAGACGACGATGCCAGCATTGCATGTTTTAGAGGTGTCCCGTACGCTTCTGTTTCGGAGCGCTGGACTCAAAGTCGCACAAGGCGCTCTCTGCCAGGTACTTTTTAATGCAACAAAGTTCGGTCCCAAGTGCCCTCAGACACCTCACTCCTCCATTCTTCCCGTTAGCCTCAAGGAACCCGATGTTGCCTTCAGCGAATTCGAATGTCTCAATCTAAATGTCACTGTTCCATTGGCAGCCTTACCACAGATCGAGTCAAAGGAGGCGACCGCTTTGCTTCCTGTCATGGTATGGGTGCATGGGTGCGTCATAGTCTCGTGGTTTGATGTTTTTCCAATTCTGGTTTCCCAGCAATTTGACTCTTATGGATGCGAAGGCTGACATGTGCAATTCTAAAACAGCGGACGATATCAACATGGATCCAATTCAGCTGCTCGATATCGACCCCAGGGGCTGTTTCCAATCGCCTCAAGCTTGGGACATCCCTTCATCATTGTGCAAATCAACTACCGCCTTGGCGTCTTCGGACTTGCAGCTTCATCGGATCTTGGCCTAGAACACAACTCGAAGACTCCACCAGCCTTGCAGTCTGAGGAATGCAATTATTTTGCCAATTTCGGTCTTTTAGACCAGCGAAATGCTTTTGAATGGGTGCAAAGCCATATTCAAGATTTTGGCGGTGACCCTTCTAACGTCACTGCATTTGGAGTGAGCGCTGGAAGCGGAAGCCTCCATCTTCATATCCTATCCGGTCCTATCCGGAAAGCCCCTTTTCGACCGTGCAATCCTCATGTCCGGCTCTGCCCCAATCATGGATCCTTTGCCACTATCTATGCTCGAGAGAAATTGGGCAAGACTTTGCCGAGAAACCGGGCTTTCGGAAGAGTTCAGTGACAAACGGCTAGAAATACTGAGGAAATTGTCAGTGGAGCAGTTGTTGGAAATGGATGGACCAAAGACATTTTGGGGACCGGTCGAAGACGGGAGGTTCCTACCCACTTCACTGCGCCTTGGAGATCCAACTCCAGAGTATCGCTGCAAACGAATAATAATCGGGGATGTTGGTATGGATGCGATTATCTTTGACAAAGTGGCAACCCATGTTCCCCAAGCCGTCTTCCGCCAGGAAGTCCAGGTCACATTTCCATCTGCTTCGGATGCTGCCACCTTCTGTAGCCTGTTTGGGTTATCTGTGTTAGAGGATTTGCCTGCGATGCAATTTAGAGACGCAATGCGTTACTTGGTCTCAGTCGTCATATTCCACTTCCCCAGCATCGCTATTGCAGAAGTCTTCGGGTCAAATGCGTACCTCTATCACTTCGAAGAACGGTCGCCTTACGACGGACCGACTCATGGGCTCCCAGTTCATGGTCAATGCGCGGTCTACCTATATAACTCAGAGCGCAAAGCTTGGCCCGAATCGGCTCGAACGACATCCTCGGAGATGGCGAGATTGTTTATGGCCTTCGCTTATTCCGAAGAGCCTCGGGAGCCTTACCTTGCTGGGAAGAGGTTTCTGAGATTTGGGCCTGGTGGAATTTGTGGAATGACAGGATTCTCGGATGACAAAACAAGAGACTATGGCTATTTAGAATGGCTCAAGGTGAATTTTGAAGCGGCGAGAGGTCTCGTGCTAGGTTTGGACTTGTAATCTATTATAAGCCTCGCTAGAGTGCTGTAGTCGATCTAGGTAGGTCAATTTACACTTTTCTGTGCGCGTGCTCCGTTTCTTCCACACTCGCTGGCATCATCTCTGTTTTCGCACCGACAGCCTCAGCCCTGACATCGGCCTGCTCTCCATCGAAAATGACTGCAATCTCCTCCAAAGCTTTGCCCTTCGTTTCAAGGAACCACCCGTATGCAATGAAGCTTTCGACAGCCAAGATGGCGACATAGACAATATAGAACCTCCAACCAATATCCTGAAGCCCAATGGGGTTGACGTATTGGTTGACGAACACAGCTGCCTTCGTCGAGAAAACATACGTTGCCATGCCTTTTGCACGAATGGAGAAGGGGAGTACTTCAACGGAATATGCCACTGGCAACGGCGAGAAAGCGATGCAGTAAAAGATCTCGTAGACAAAAATCAATGCCATCACTGCAATGCCGGCAGAGCTGGCCGAAGTCTCAGCGAAGCGGGCGGAAGCGATCGTCCAACCAGTGAAGACAATCATCATGCCTATTGTGGAGATTCGGAACAAAGGCCGACGACCAAGTCTCTCGACAAAGAAAGCGCTGGTCAAAGCAAGAAGCCAGTTCCAGATATTCAGTAGCCCATTCACCAGGGCCTGTGTCTTCTTGCTCTTGATACCGACGGAGTCCATCACACGAGACAGGTCTAAGGGGAAATAATCAGCAAAGAGGTCATCATAGATAGGTATTATCAAGGCCTTACAATATGAGATAAGACCATTTCCTGACCATTGACTCATAAAACCCATGCCTAGGATAGTATTAGATCGAGAATCAAACAGTTCACAGACATTATCACTCACAGACAACCAAGAATATGCGGTATCGATTCCCCTTCGTCCTGACCATAGAAGCCCAGGTAGTGTTGCCAGACACTGACGAATGAGTTAATCTCCAGTTCAATCCGTAATCCAGACTTCTTCACTTACACTTTTCGTTGTCGATCGCAGCCCGAATCTCCTGGTATTCCAGTCTGACTAGTTCCGTCTCTTCACCCTCGCCATGATAGCGTGCTAATGCCGCCAGTGCCTCGTTGTCCCGATCCTTGGAGATAAGCCATCGTGGTGACTCCGGTAGAAACCAGACCGCTGAGAGTTGAACAAGGCTAGGGGCCATCTGAAGGAGGGAGGGAATCCTCCAAGACCAGGTGCTGGGGATTGTTCGCGTGCCATATGTAATCCAGGCGGCAACGATGCTACCAAGGAACCAACTGTTGTTCTTTCAATCAGTCAAAGAAGCTAAAGTTATGAGCGTGTCAGAGCCACCTACCAAGTGTTGCAGATAGCTGTAACTGTGACCCGGTCTTTGGGATGAGACAATTCACTGACAAGGCTGGGGGAAGAGGTGGTGGCGAATGACAGACCAAATCCAAGAATGAATCTGCTGACGACAAACATGGCAAAGGCCTGGCTTTCGCACTGCATAATAGCACCAATAATCATGATGATGCTGCCAATTGTTATACCCCAGCGACGACCAAATCGGTCAGCAACCCAGGGTGCAATGGGTGTAGAGCAAATACTACCAAGGGACATGATGGCACTCATGAGTCCAAGAGAAGCACCTCTGGGGTTGTCGAAGAAGTCGTCCCAGTATGAAACAGTTTGGAGGGAATTCATCATGGATCCATCGTAGCCCGAAGTCGCGTATGAAACAACCGCCGCCGGGAAGAGAAGGAAGTAGAGGCGTCGTCGAGCTGCCGACTTGTACCAAACAGGAGCCTCCTGAGCAAGCTTTGCGATACGCGATGGCTCGTAAGTATCGGCGGGGGACACGCCGTCACCGCCTTGGCGACGTGATTGTCGAGCAAGTTGATCCTGCCTTGGTGCCGGCAGGCGTTTGCGAAGAAAGTCCATTATTGAATTGGTAACGAATATGAACAGAATCTCAAGTTCACTTGGACTAACACCGTGGACTGAGGTAGTTGACTGTAACTCTGGCCAGATCGCCCCTTCTTATAGCTGGAAGGGGGGTTCAAAGTGAGGAGTAAGTGCTGGAGACAAACATGATATGAATTGGAGTTAAGCCTTGGAGGGCATGGTCAACCGAGGGCCAAAAGTATTGAAACCTTCACCCTATGCGAACCAATCCAATGAACTTGGCCTCCGAACCTAGCTCAATGGATCAGAAATGGCCTACTTGGGTGGTATGCCTCCTGTGGAGAGGGAGGGATCGCATCTGGGGTAACTCCACACAACCCTGTATAGTCTGCGTGTTTTTCCGATCTTCAGGAGTGTACCATGGAGTCGGTTTCGCGGAGCCCCATTTTCGAAGACGCGATAGTATCCAGTCCTCGTCTTGCACCTTTCCACTCTACACTCAGCAGGTCGTTATACAGTCGAAGACCTTGACGTGCCGCGTGACCACACGAATCAGCGACTGTTTTGAAGTCGTCGGTGGAGAACACTAAGCCCCAGTTTCTCGCATGGTCTCGGTGAGCTGACGAATCAGGGCACTTCGGGGCAGCTAAATTCCTCCCCCTAGCGCATTGTGGAGGTCCCAAGAGAAAGTTCGGGGCAGCTAAATTCTTGCCCCGAATATCTAAAGGCGTACAATCCCGCTCGCCACGTGCTCTGAACGAATCTAAGGAAGAGTCTCTAGTCGGGGGGAAACATCGGTGGCCTGGGGATAAAATTGAGTGTAATAATTTCGGGGAAGCTCTTAGGTCAGCCCCGGAATCATGTCATGTTATCACGCGACTTAGTCATAGCCAGATTCTCCGCAGGCCCCTTGTCGCCAACCCCGTACCCCGTATAGAAGAGCAGAGCTACCATACAGAACTCTGGTATGCTCCAGTCGTCACGCGGCGATCGGGGGCAAATAGCATTGATATTCATGGTGTGGGGCTCTATCATTCAAACGCATGCGGCGATGGGAATGATTGGTTCAAGCTACACGCCGCCCATCCGGGCCCAGAATAGTTCGCAAGCTCGCACGGCGCTAGATATAAGTGAGGTATATAGGAGCTAGAGCTTGCTCATGAGTGTGATGTTTGCCGATATTCGGTCTTCATGTTAGAGTCTTGCGAAGCTCACCCCCTCCCCTCAATCTAACCTCCTTCACCTGAACCCAACTTGTTTAGACTCATCAGTTATAATGTCGGGTGGTATACTCAAAACTTCTGGCACGAAGATTGTCGACACCGAGGGCAATGCCGTTCTTCTTCGCGGCGTACGTACCCCATTCTGTCATTGCATGTCCTGGCAGAACATCAAGCTAACAAGTCGCAATCAAAGACGGCCCTCGGCGGCTGGATGCTGATGGAAAACTTCATGAATGGGTTTCCAGGACGAGAACATCAGATTCGAAACGCGCTTCTTAAGGTTTTGGGCAAAGAAAAGTACGAGTTCTTCTTCGATAAGTTCCTTGAGTATTTCTTTACCGAGAAAGATGCCGAGTTTCTGGCGTCAATTGGTTTCAACTGTGTCCGACTATCATTCAACTATCATCATTTCGAAGATGATATGAACCCATTCGTAATTAAGGAAGAGGGCTTCAAGCACCTCGATCGAGTTATCGAAATCGTAAGTTAGCTCTTGCCACAGACGCCCTGACACCAAAAACTAAAGATGGTATTGCAGTGCACAAAATACAAGATTTACACTATTCTAGACCTACACGCCGCCCCAGGAGGTCAGAACCAAGATTGGCACTCCGATAACCCTACCGGTTATGCCGCATTCTGGGACCATAAACACTTTCAAGACAGAGTTGTCAATCTTTGGCAGGTCATCGCCAAACGCTACCGCGGCAATCCATGGATTGCGGGATACAATCCTCTGAATGAACCTGCCGATGTAGAATGGACTCGATTACTATCATTCTACGACAGAATAGAGGCGGCCATCAGAGAGATTGACTCTGAGCACATATTATTCCTAGAAGGAAACACGTAAGGCCTAACCTCCAGCCCCTTGTAGATTCCGCCTATGTTTGCGTGTTCTAATACTTGAAACATTACAGATTCAGCATGGACTTCTCAGGTTTTGAGAAAGTGTTCCCTAATTCGGTATATGCCGTCCACGACTATTGTGGTTTTGGATTTCCCAACAGGATCGGTAGATACCAAGGTCTGAAGGAGCAGGATGCATACATTCGAAAGATGTATGATCGTAAAGTAGAGTTTATGAAGAAGCATGATATTCCTGTCTGGAATGGTGAGTATTGATTGCCCAATTCTGAGTTTGACTGATTCTCACACGTGGAAAATTCCAGGAGAATTTGGTCCAATATACGAAAAGGAGGAATATAATCCAGATTGGAAAGTTCAAAATGACGAACGATACGATATGTTGGACAAACAGCTTGCAATCTACACGTCAGAAGAAATTGGTAAGCTGATTCAACCTGCAAAGAAGAAATTCGGCTGACTTTACAAAGCGTGGAGTATCTGGGCTTATAAGGACATCAATGTTATGGGCATGACCTACTTATCTCCTGAATCTGCATGGATGAAACTTCTAGGGCCGATGCTGCACAAGAAGAGACAGATGGCTGTGGACAGCTGGGCTTATGATGATGCGCACCTCCAAGAAGGCCTGTTCGGGCCGCTCCACAAATGGTTTGAGGACAATATCCAGCCGCCCTACAATAAGAAGTATCCATGGCAGTGGCGGATGCACATGCATGTATTCCGCGGTATTCGAGGTATCACACTCGCAGAATATATGATCCCAGAATGGGCCGACTACTTCAAGGGAAAGAGCTTTGAGGAGCTAGACGAGCTTGCGGCGAGCTGGAAATACGAAAACTGCCTCCAAAGAGAGAGGCTTAACCAGGTCCTTGGCCTTTATGCCCCAATGAAAGCAGATGACAAACGACTTCAAGGCAACGTTATCCCGTCGGAAGCTGACCATGCGACGACCGAGGAGGCGACGACTGGAGTAGGCGTCTTCGAGCTAGCCCCTGATGAGAAGAAAGCAAGGGAAAATGTGAGTGTGACACCAGTCGCAGTCGCTTCTTGATTGTTGCAAAAGCTGTAATCTGGGTTACTCTTATTAAAGTACTATGATGGCTGGCTCGTAGCATACATAGTATATAGATACATCTCAATCATAAAGAATGCTAGACCCTTGGATAGAGACATATTAACAATGGCTCTTTAGCATACATTGATTACGATTTTAATCTACTGTACTATTGAGTCTAGCTTTTCGTGATACATCTAGTCGTGCAAGTACATCTACATGCCAAGCAAACTCCTTCACACTCACACCGAATCGCTTCAGGTTTCTCATGCCTAAAAAGATCGCCTCCTCGATGTCAGTTGGAAGCATATCCCGGAAAGGTGCACAAACTGATGCGACCATGAGAATAGCGACCATTGTGAATGTGCTTATAAATGTTGTTAGCAACTACCTTTGTAATCAGGTTGAGTACTTACACCATGCCGGTGGCGAACAAGCAAGTAATGCTGTTGATGGGCTCCACGTCAAATACTTTGATAAAGCCCCGGCAGCCGTCTAGACACAAACGAGATCTCTCCAGTACGGCGGCCTTAGAGGGGTGAGTGTCGAAGTGCGCCAGATTAAGCAAAACATATTCGACGAACGGCCGGTGTATAATGTATTGACCCGCGTAATAGCGGCCTTTGAGCCTGACGACGTTCCAAGGATTATTAGTCATCTCATTTACTTTCGTAGCGCCCGGTGTCGGAGATGCTATTTCGAGAGGGCTCCCGCATTCACGGGGTTTCGTTGGGAGACTGGTCAATAGGAAATCAGGTAGGTTGCGATATATAGCCGCGTGATGTGCCCACAAGTCTTCAGTGATTCTGAGAAGCCACGTAGCGTGGTTGGCTCGTGTGACTCTGTACTGTTCTTTTGTGTCGTATATGAAGCTGTTGACGCGATTCAGGAAGCGCCGTATTGCGGCGTTGGTACTGATTTGAAAACCGACGAGTTCGTCCGCTCTGTCTGCTTGGCCATTGATGAGTCCCGCATCAGAAGAGCTGGCGCGGCCTTGATGCTTGGCCACCGTGTCAAAGACAGGATATGGTATCAGATCTTTGTATCTTGCAATTCCAGAAGGCAGCGTTATAGATATCTCAGAGACAAAGTCTCCCTCCCAAATGAACGCCACCCAGTATAGCCGTCGGAAAGAATCAGAATATTCTTCGTCGGCTTCTTGACCAATGACGATTCTATGATGGAGTTTATTTAGTATTTGCTTTGGATCCAACCAGAGGCAACATCGATGACCAACTCACCGTCTCGCAAGTGCCTCGCATTTCACAGCTGTTGCATGAGCCCAATGAAAAGTGTCAGCTACATGCCCTCTTGCACCCTTATAGAGGCTATGTATATCTTGTTAGCTTGCTGGCTGATCTGATATGAGATTGCTTGCAAAGGACCTACCTGGCTAGCATCGTACACTGAGCAGATTCAAGAGAGGGATCTGATGATATTGTTCCTAGTAGGAGGCTGGCTTTCTTCCAAAGCAATTCGTCCAAGAAAGGTGCACCGTCGGTAGTGTCGTGACTTTCAAGAAATCTTGGTGAGCTGTATGATGGTGATTCAGTATTCGGAAGACGGATAAAGGTCCGGCCAGTGGACACCAACGAGGCTAGACACAGAACCAATATCAAGAGGCAGTATTGCGCCGGTGATACTGGAACACGAGGCTCGCTGTTATCGTATTCTGCACTTGCCACTGCTTCAAGAATCTCGATGATGTTGTTCAATGAAAGAAGGGGAAAGAAAATGTTCACCTCCTTGAAGTACGCGCAGATCAGGTCGCGGTACGTGGCCGCCGACTCGACGGGAACGGGTAGGCTCCGGTCTTGGAAGAGCCTCCATGACTCTGCAGGGACGGATGTGTCTTGTGTTTTCGATGATGGTTCAAAGAAGATGTCTGTCGCATCGAAGGAAACTCCGGATTTCCCATCAGGTATTGTGAACGCTGATTCTCCAGAGCTCTCAGACAACATCTGCTGGACAATTGGCCACTCATAGATGTGATTTGCATTGGCCGTGTGAGATATAGGAATCTGTACGTCCAGATCTAGTCCATTGACATTGATGTCCACCGCTTCATCCTGTCCTCGACCGCTGGCTAAGCCGGACAGGCCACCAACCGCCGAGCGGGACGTCTCACTGATGAGCGACGCGGATGGTGCTTGGCCATTGAAGACTGGAGAAGATAGAAGGCGATCCTCTAGCAATTGAATGCGTTCCAAGAGAACCCGGGTATTCTGTTCAATACGTGGCTGCTGTGAGTCGCTATACACGCACTCGACGTTCTGGGTCAAGCACAGGCTGCACTTCGGTTTCGCCGCATCACAGCGGGTTTTTCGCGTGCGGCAGTTGGTGCATGCCTGTAGCACTCGCCGCCGCTGAGGAAAATAATGTGCCGGCGAGAAGGATGAAGCCGACGCGTCCATGATAAGAGCATCGTACTCATGAAGCTGGAGTCCTAGTTGAAGACAATGACGATGGAGTGAGCACCATTCGCGCGCTAGACGCATCCAGTGCCATTGCCTTTCACCCACTCCACTGGTAAAGTTCGCAGTGTCCACTACTTTGCTCCCTTATATACCTGCCCGCATTCTCAGGATGTTAACGGCCCACATTGTGGTCATCCCGTGCTACCCTGTACTGTACATGGGCTTGGCACGACCTAAAACTCCCCGCCAGCGCCCCAGAACCGCTGAAGCGGGTGGAATGTCATGTATTAGGTGACCTAGGATTTAGTCCAGCACCTGACTCAAGGCAAGTCTGGCTGCTCGACCTCCCCACATCGCCTCCAGCGGGGAGCAGCTTGATCGCCCTGCTAAATGTTCTGTACTGGTTGTGGGGAAATGTGTTGATGATGGGCGATTCCTTATAAGGAGCTACTGTAGCACGTTCAATGAACATAGGAGACCTACATGGCGATAGTATTGATGAAGGTGAGAACGGTCGATTCAGGAGCACCTAATAAAAAAGGGCGCCTGGATTTGTTTGGGAAGAGGTGTAGGTGGTGAGCAGAGACACGGTAAACACACGTTATGGGATGCAAGGATCAAAATGGCCACGAAGACCAAGATAATAACTCAAAAAGTCTATGCGCTCACATCGTATTTTTCTATTGTTGGTATACAGTTTGAATTGAGAATGAGACACCATGTTTTTGTTGCATCCGTCACCACCGCATTGTAACTCCGAAGCAAGCGCTTACACTATCAGTCTTCCTCAGAGCTGGGGTCCGCTGGCCAGTAGAACCACGACAGAACGATAAAGAACTTTAGGACAGCAGCTATCCACAGCGCACCGGCAATACCGACTTCGCTGTGGGCCAGCAAACCGCCCATACAAGCGCCGAAAAGGAGTAACAATGGCGCTCCAGTCCTTTGATTGCGCTCTACGTTATGTACCGTGAAGAGGTTGGCATCAGAAAAGAGGTCGCAGTAGATGCTTGTCAACACGACGCTTGTGAGAGCATTGTGTTTGAGTGCTCTACTAGCCACAGCTTGCCCGCACGCCTGGAATGCGACCAGGGCTATGGGCACCAGCACGTTCCAGCTAATATCTTCCTTGCCAGCGGTTGGGCCCAGAGTGACGATTATGGCAGCGCCGATAATCAAGGTCATCTGGAATGCAAATGAGGCACACAGCACCCAGCGACGCTTGGGCGAAAAATAGCGATGAAAACGACTGAAACAGAACGACCCAACACAGAAGCATCCAAGCGATGTTGCGCTTTTAATCCATCGCGTAGACTCACGAGGCGCAGCAAGACCGAGGCCAATGTAGACGGTGTTTCCTACATCAAAGTCAGTTACCACGAAGAGCAATGGACACAAGACTGGAAGTCCCGGCGACTGAGCACTGACCGGTCTGCATTGACACGAAGGAGCCCCAAATAGAAATCGACGAACTGTCGAGCAATCCGGTAATGATGTAGCAGAACAGCAAAACAAGATCGGACCAATCTCTCTTGATATCGACTCTGAGCTTCCTTCGCCAGCGGCGGAGAATAGAACCCGATGGAGGCTTTCGTAGCAGCGGCTGCTCCTCGTCGCCTCCCCGCTCGCCGCCATTGGTTATGCCACTCGAATTTGGCGTAGTGCCATACCCTGTACTTGAGCTCATGATTACTTTCAGTGGGTGTGGATGTCAGATTCAGCCTCTTTGCTTCAATTGAAAGCCAGCCGTGGCTCTTTGCTCAAGTTTGCAGTGTTGAGGTGAAGTGAAGAGAGGGGTTCTCAGAAATATCACTCCGGCGAAGCGTGCTCTGTCCAGTCCAGTGCAGTCCACCCTTTCGATCCCACCAGAGCACACTTCCCTTGATATTCTCTCTTGACCTGTGCGTAGAAGGCACGAAACAACGCCTACCAGGGGTTCTGTCCTATATAGATCCGCCAAGATCTCCAAGATGCGGAGTCGAGGTTCTCCGCTTCTTCTCCAGCTAATAAGCTGCCCGGGAAGCATCGCTAAGCTCCCCGAGTCTTCTCCTTGACCTGGGGTAATGGTGCTAGGGCAGTCTGTTTGACGCAATGCCATCCAGAACCGGTCAGCGCCAGTGACCTGGTTATGCCGGAGCCGGACTTCCCAGCGAACCACAACTGCCGCACCCCCGCCCTACCTACCACACCTGGCGGTCTCAGCGCGTTTCGACTGGCTCGTTTCCACCATTGACAAAGGCCAGCAAGGCTCCTGTGACGACAACGAGACGAACACCGAGATATTCGGACATCCTTCGGCGAGTGAGGTCCATGCGGGGTAAGCTTCGCCAAGCTGTCTGGCAGCTCCTGGCAAGGCGAGATATAGCAATTGGATGGGGCCATGCCAGTGCCCCTGAGCTTCGGTGTGCACGACATGCTGGGATAGTGTGGGTATAAATCGAGAGCTTACATCTTCATGTCACTGATCCGCAACTGGTGCTCCCCTTTCCTGTTCTGTTTCCTTCTTGTGCCTTCACAGTTCCTCATAGTCCCGTTGCAGCTAAAGAGGAATTGCAACCATGTACTTCACACAGCTCCGCAACAACGCAGCGAGACTGCTTGTCCTTGTCGCCTGCTTCACCGAGCTCACCTTGGCACTTCCTCACCGAGACAGCCCGCGCCAGCGCCTGCTTGATGGCAAAGAGTTGCCATCCAACCTTCGGCCAAAGAAGACAGACCCCTATACGCCGAACTTCCGTGATCCCTATGATCACGCTGTCGACCCAATTGCAGACGACCTTGACCCTTTGCCTTGGCGCAATGGCTTGGGAGCTTCAGTGCTGGGTCCCTGGAACAAGGAGCGATCTCGTCAGAGCCCTGACCTCGTGCGCCCTCCAAGCACGGATCATGGCAATCTGCCCAGCTTGCGATGGAGCTTCGCTGACTCACATATCCGAATTGAGGTAATTGATTACTCAGGGCTGCAAACAGCGCCATCACCGCTAACACAGCACCACTACAGGAAGGTGGCTGGACGCGACAGACGACGGTGCGTGAGCTGCCCACAAGCATCGAGCTAGCAAGCGTCAACATGCGACTTGGCGAGGGCGTCATCCGCGAGCTGCACTGGCACAAGGAAGCCGAATGGGCCTACGTCCTCGACGGCAAAGTTCGCGTCACGGCTCTTGACTACGAGGGCGGCAACTTCATTGACGACTTGGAGAAGGGGGATCTCTGGTACTTCCCAAGTGGCGTGCCGCATTCCCTGCAGGGATTGAGCGAGAACGGCACGGAGTTTCTGCTCGTATTTGACGATGGTAGATTCTCGGAAGAGTCTACGTTCATTTTGACCGATTGGCTTGGTGAGCGCCCATTGCCATCCGAACCTGCCGCTGCAAGCGTTACTAAGTCAAGATAGCACATACGCCGAGATCCGTCATCTCGGAGAACTTCCACTTGGATCCAGAGATCTTTGCTCACCTTCCCAAAGGCGAGAAGTACATTTTCAAGGGAACCAATCCCGGCTCCATCGATGACGAGCGGCCGCGGGGTAAGAATGTGAAGAAATCTAAGTACAACTTCACGCACAAGATGCTTGCTCAAGAGCCCACCAACACCACTGGAGGACAAGTCCGCATCACTGACTCCAAGAACTTCCCCATTTCCCAGACAGTTGCGGCGGCGCACGCAATCATTGAGCCCGGGGCCATTCGTGAGATGCACTGGCACCCGAATGCCGATGAATGGTCGTTCTTCATCCGAGGCCGCGCTCGGGTTACTGTCTTTGCTGCCGAGGGCAACGCGCGCACGTTCAACTACGTACCCGGCGATGTTGGCATCGTGCCCAGGAATATGGGACATTTCGTCGAGAACATCGGCGACGAGCCACTTGAGATGCTCGAGGTCTTCCGTGCTGATGAATTCCGTGACTTCTCTCTGTTCCAGTGGCTAGGCGAGACCCCGCAGCGCATGGTTGTCGACCATTTGTTCGCAGACGACAAGGAGAGTGGCGAGAGGTTCCTCCGTGAGATCAAGGATGCGCAGAAGGATCCCATCACAAAAGGATCGATTCGAGAGGATGATATGACGGAAGATGATGAATATGATCTGTGATGAACTGCCCCGCTGCATATGTGCAACGTAAATATATATCTGTAGTAAACAAAGTCCATATTTGATGGGACAGAAAAGAAATTAGTTTGAGTGTAAGGCGCAAGGAGTGCTTCTGAGGGTCGCAATCAACACTCTTTCATTGTCTTGAAACTTATCAGGGAGGAGTACCAGGCTGTGATCGTCCAAATTAACGGGAGAGATCTGTACGCGGTATCCTTGTTTAGCAAACATGCATATCAGATCTACGGGGACGAAGTGATTAGCATTTCTTTAATACTCAAACTTTAAGACACGTGAAATGGTCACTCAATCTTCCAATACTATTAAATCCACATTGGCATTGTTGTCACAGTTCTGAATCCTCTGTGCCAATTTATTTCATAGCTCGTATTGTGCTGGGCAAGACGACATGCTATAAGGTTGCCCTTACTATGCATCGTTGGTAGTTACCTCTACTAGTTACCACAACGCGGAAAGCACATTTTGACGCTGCCAATGCAGATTCAAACATATTTCCTTCGATCTACGCGGACACCTTAGAAGGTGACATAGGTCAAGAACCTCCTCCACAACGGCATGGCATAGTAGGCATCAAGCCTATCCAGCTCCTCCTCTGTCAAATATCTACGACCGCTTCTCAGATCTGCAGTGGCAGGATCTTGAATCTTCGTCCTGAACCAGATCTTGTATGTGGCGAAGGCAGTGAAGAACAGTGGCATGCACAGCATGGTTTGGAAGAACACCTCGGCACTCGGGCCACTGTCGATGGGGCTGGCGGAGGTGTAGATGGTGCAAGCCAGGGTGAAAAGAGTGGTGCAGAACAAGAACAGCGGCGCAAATGGATACCAACGCACACGGAATGCATGCTTCAGCTGCAGTGCTGGGTCCTGTTGAGCCTCAAGTGCACGGTGCATGCACCAGTTTGTGATGGGAATTGTCAGCCAAGCGAAGAATGTCGTCGTCGCGGACACGGAGCTGAACCACGTGAAGGCTGTAGCGCCGCCCGTCGAGGTGTTGATGTATGTCATGATAATGCTGATAAGTGCGCAGCAGATATTCGAGTAAATCGGTCTACCACGAGAGTCCACCTTTCCGAAGATCGCAGGAAACATGCCCATACGAGACATGGCAGTTTGAATACGCGATGCGATAAACATCGACTCCGAGCCGATACCTGTCAAGCCAACCAAGAGAACAACATTGACAATATCGGGCAAGACATTGATGCCGACCTTCTTCATCGCAATCACGAACGGAGATCTAGCGATCTGACTAGAGCTGTCCAGAAGCATAGGGTCGGTGTATGGAACTAGGACTGTGATGTACACACACGCCGAGATGTAGATAAGGATAATTCGAATGAAGAGATTCTTGCAAGCGCGGGGAAGCTCCCAGCGCGGGAAGGATGACTCTCCAGATGTAATACCAATGATCTCTTGACCACCAGTTGCCCATGCTGCAAGCAGGAAGACAATAGCAATACCCTTGAAGCCATTAGGGAACGCCGAGAGATTCTCATAATTGTAGCCTCGGTCGATCGCGTCTCCGCCGAAGCCGCAGCAAATGATCAACATGACGAAGAGAACAATGAATGTTACAGAGACCTTCAGTGCACCAGTGAAGAACTCAAACTCGGCGAAGACTCTGTTTGGCAGAAGATGCTGACCAAGGACGATGACGAGGTAAATGGTGTACCATGCTGCATCGGGTACAGCACTGGTCCAGTATGAAGCGATGACAGGGAAGATAGCTCCTTCAGCGGCGACGACAGTGAGAGCACCAAACCACTCGCAGAAGCCCAGGGCAAAACCCAGAGCAGGGTCGACAAAACGTGTAGCGTGATCAATAAAGGATCCACTAGTTGGAAAGAGACACTGGGCTTCAGAAAGCAAGTTCATCATGAACATCGCCATCGTGCAAATCAACCCATATCCAATCAACATTCCCGGGGCAGAGCCATAACGTAAGGCCTGGATTTGGGTTTAGTTTAGATTCCGTTTGCATTTTTTTTTAAAATGATTTCGCGCGACTCACCTTGCCACTCGAAACATAGATACCAGAGCCGATGTTGGCACCAAGTGCAATCATCTGCACATGTCGAGTCTTGAAGGATCGACGAAGCTGGCCCTTGGGTGCTTCGCCGCCAGAGTTGGCGTACTCATCACCTTGTTCTTCTGGGACACCCTTGAGGAACGTCTCGCCCTGCAGCTCAGAGGCCGCTGTAGGGGCGGCGGTGATCTTCTCAACATCTGTCCGCGGCGCTGTCGCTTCGGCCATTTTGAATGTCACTGGTAACAAAATCGTACGATAATCCAGAATAGAGTGGCATGGTTTTGCGGGGTGAATTCTGGCCTTGATATAAGTCTTTGGGTCTGCTGGCTCTCTCGAGGGTCATGGGATATCAAGATACGGTTGACCACCACCGAGCCCATAGCCGGTTGACACGGATGGGAGGCTATCAAGGCTAGGCGATATGAGATATGTCAGAAATTTATCTGATTCGTCCTTGTCGCCGAATTTGCTAAAGATAACAGGGGGACCCGCCCATTGATGTGCTAATGAGATAGCGCGAGTCATTGTCTACCTCGTTTCTTCTCGTCCCCAAAGCGTTGGAAGCTGGGGTAAACACGATGCCTCGGATTGGTCTTCATCTTTTGACTGAGTTTTCCAATCGCCGGTAATCAGCGCAAAGAGATCTCAAGGTGGGTCAAGGGCGCCACACGATAACTGGCGATCCCAAGATCCACATGACCATTCACGGTACCAGCTCTCACATTCCATCCCTTCACTGCTGCCCTTTGGGTTGATTACAGCCAAGTCATAGAAGTATCAGAGCGTTTCGAGTGGTGGCAGTATTCGGGAGCCAATTGCGAGCCTTCGATCGCCATTGTCAAGTGCTGCGACTATTATGGAAGCGTTGGAGCGGCAGCGTAGCCATCGGCCGGCATGGTGAGTTACCGAACAGTGGCCGAAACAATTCGGCGTGCGGTGCACCCACGAGTAGATGCGAGTGCTAACATTTGGGGACAGCCGACGATGCCACATACGAAAGGCAAGCGAATCACTTATAGTAATAGGTTTACTTTGCTCTAACTCGCTTCTCCTTCAGGTCCGATGTGATGCTTTTCCCGGGCGCGCCTGCTCCGGCTGCCGGTCCAGTGGGACAGAATGTGTTGCGCATGAAAAACGCCGACGTAATGTAAGTCATATCTAAAAAAACATGCCATGATGACCTGATAATTCGCTTACATGGGATCATAGCGTGGACCTCCTAAGCCCGAGACCTTACCGCCCCTTCTACCAACACCCATGCCTGGAAGTAATAATCCTAGCGAGCAGTTGCCCCAAGATGAAGAGATCCATGTGGCATATGAAGACCAGACTTTTAGTCCTCGATCCATTTCAACTGCCCACATTGTTCAAGACGACCAAAGTGAAGTCGGCCGAGCAGCCGCGACACTGTCATCACTCCAAGATGCCTCTTCCGGCCAAGGAGATGGCGGCGATGTGAAGCGGCATCTAGTGGAGATGCTTTCACAAGATGACATCGACGTTAGGGTGATGCAGAAAGGTGTACGGTAGGTTATTACACGGTTATCTCTCTAGACTATTGCTAACGCGACGGAAAGGATTGTCTATGTTGGGCAAGAGTACTCTAATATTAATTATCTGATCCGCCATCGAGCTCGCAACGAGGCAGTTCATCATTTTCCTGCAAACCAAATATCGAGGCAGTTCGTCAGCCATGAGCTCGACCGTATACCAAAGGAAGCTTTCACCTTGCCTTCACCAGCGGTCGTGGATGAGTTACTGGAACATTATTTTCGTTATGTGAACCCCGGGTTCCCTATCCTGGATGAAGAAGTCTTCATGAGCCAGTATCGAGGACGGGATCCCCTCAATCCTCCGAGTTTATTAGTGTTGCAGGCTGCGTTGATGGTGGGTGCACATGTTTCCAGGCAGCGGCCTGACAGAGATGAATTGAAAGCAGCCTTCTTCAGAAGGGCGAAGATGCTCTTTGACGCGAGATTTGAGTGGAACCGCGATGTCGTAGTTCAGGCGGCCTTACTTCTCACTTGGCACTCGGAGGGAGTCGAAGACATAGGAGCAAATTCGTACTTCTGGGTTGGGGTGGCCGCAAGAACAGCTATGGGACTAGGAATGCATCGTGACACTGGTCCAAGCACTCTCATTGGCACCGATAAGAGACTATGGCGGCGACTATGGTGGATACTTGTCCAGTTTGATGTCACCGTGTCTTTATCGTATGGCAGGCCTCAAGCCATCAATCTGGATGACTGCGATGTGCCTCCATTGCGACCATCCGATTTCGATCTGCCGCGGGAGAATGTTGACGTCGAATTCGTCATTCACCAAACAAGTCTCTGCTCAATAATATCTGGCGTGATACGAGAAAGATTCGGCTTAAAGGTGCCTGCTCCTCGAAAACGCGAGGCGCTCATGGTCGCTGACCGCCTGCTTGCTGAATGGATGGGTGATCTCCCGAGGCGGCTGAAAGGCCTTCCAGGAGATACTAGTCGGTCACCCTGGGCAATAATGCTACATGTCAATTACAACAACTTCCTAATACTTCTCCACCGACCTTCTCCCAAGCCGGCCACTCTCGCTACTGTTGTGAAGCAAGACGATATGGGTAAGTCCAACGAAGCCCGGATCTCTGGGGAACATTCGGACTAACAAGTCTGCAGAGATATGCTCTGCAGCTGCGAGTACAATGATAGGCTTATTTGAGACAGTATGGTGTCGTAACGAGCTAAGATATTTGAATGTGTTTGCCGTTGATGCACTGTTCACGGCGCTCATTCAATTGAGCGCTGAGATTCGTGTAGCAAACCCGATCTTATCTGCCAATGCCATGCGAAGATTTGATTCTGCCCTAGATATCATGCGTTCTCTCGCTGAATACTGGTTCAATGCTGAGATAGTGCTTCGACTTTTCGAAGACAGTTCCGAGAGAATGAGGCAAGAGCTAGGTATTGGAAAGAGCGCTGCCAAAAATCCAAAGGATGACGATCTCATCACCCCAAACTCGGACTCAGGGGTAGATTTACAAAGTCAAGGGGAGGCACCCGACACCTGGCATAGCTTTTTGCCCACACACGACACGATGGGCCACATTGGCATGCCGAGTGAGCATATGGATTGGACAAACATGTACTGGGAGAATTCTGGCTTCCCGTCATTGAGCCCTTACACGGATTTAGGACTATACCCATCGACCTGAATTTTCAATCGATTGATTGAACTAGAAAGGAGGCAGAAAAAACACAACTATAGTGTCATAATGTCCTTATGTCTCTCCAAGAACCTGGCAACACAGTCCACAAACCGATCAAGCTCTTCATCCGGAGTGTCAAGGATTAGGGCAATGGATCCGCGTCGAGTAATCCAGTATCCATCCTCCATCATCTCAAACCAGAAAAGATCTTTGAGGTCCCATCTTTCTTGGACATCTTCTACTGACTTAATGTCCTCTAGCCCCGTGTCAGAGAAGTGTATAGCCATCAATGCTCCACGTCCAGTAAACGAGCATTTCGTTCCCTTGGTGATGGCCTGCAACTTCTGGCGGTATACGTCGCCCTTTGCGTTGAATGCAACATTTACCTCAGGCGTTAGAACTTTTGAGAAGCCAGCATAGCCAGCATACATAGCCATAGTATTGTTGTTGAAAGTGCCTGAATGAGCAAGCGAGCCAGATGATCGTGGATCATACACAGACATAATATCAGCACGGCCACCGAATGCGCCAAATGCAAAACCACCTCCAAGGTACTTTCCAAATGACGTGAGATCTGGTTTGAGGCCTAGTATGCTCTGCAGTCCTCCGGGGCCTAGCCGAGAAGTCATGACCTCGTCAAGGAGGAAGACGGCGCCCACTTTCTTTGCAGACTCCTGGATCTGAAGCAGGAACTCTTTGGTTCCAACAATGCAGCCACCAGCACCTTGCATACCTTCCACCATAACAGCAGCTAGATCCGGCGTACCTTCAATCACAGCTTTAGCAGATTCCACGTCGTTATATCTGCCAATCACCCAATCATCTTTGTTGACGTTGTTCGTGGCAACCTTGCCATCTCCAAAAGAAAGCACGGCGCCATGGTATGCGCCACAGAAAACCACCACCTTGCGCTTTCCGGTAAATTGCTTGGCTCCATTAAGAGCATGCAAATTTGCTTCGGTACCTGAGTTGGTAAACCGAACACGTTCCAAGCCAAAACGCTCGCACATTAGAGCGGCATGCTTTTGCTCCTGGATGATGGTGGACCCAAGATTCAACCCAACGTTGTCAAATGTGGTGAAAATAGCGTCACGGATCACAGGGTGAGAGTGTCCGTAGATGCCTGCAGTGAGCTCACCGACAAAGTCAGTATATCTAGTTCAGGTTAGCTCTTGATACTCGGATCAAGCGAACTTCAGTCATACTTGTGGCCATCTTCGTCCCAAACAAATGGCCCTCTTCCCTGCTTCATGACAAGCGGAAATGGCGAAGTGTGGAGAAGTGTGCGGGTGTTACCACCGGGAAGGTTGTTCACAGCAACTTCATGCTGCTTTCCAGATATTGGATTACGCTCAACATATCGGGCCTCCGCTGCTGAGAGTGCGGCCTTAACGGGATCGGTTCCAACAGCTGCAAGTTTCGCCTTGATGTCTGAGACCAGGTTGGTCGTCTGCTCTTGGATTGCACTAGGCGCCATGGCGGTTGTTTAGGAGAGAGAAAAAGTGTTGCTGCGTGGTATCCGTCTGACGACACTTGAGAATGCACGTCAATTACTCTGGTCTCGACCGGGTACAGGTTTTGATTCTTTAGACAATTCGCCGGCGACAGAGGCGACAACGAATCTCCGAGACCTCGCCAATTACATGCATTCAGCTATCGTAGATGGAAATCTCTCGCCGAAACTATTACTCAACCGAAACAAGTTGATGGATAGCCGTATACTCCAAAAGACTTACCCCGCCGTTCATTCGTGCCGCCGAAGCCACTGCGCGATATCTAGCTTTATCTTATCAGCTCCGGCACCGGGCCCGCAATCGAAGATTCTCTCGCTTCCCACCGACCCGGCCGTGGGCGGTCTCATGGGCCAATCACGGTGGATCGGCAATTTCGTGTACAATTCCGAATACATAGGTACATGTCTTGTATCCACTGGAGAATATGGCAAGAGCGCGACTATTATCTGATAATCTAGTGTTCATTCAGACATTCTGGTCACACAAGATCGAGTGTTGAAAGTGCAGTAAATGGCTTAGACTTTTCGAAACGACAAAATCATCAGTCACAATGGCCATGTCTGAGTTGCGGCTGCAGATGCTGAGCGTAGATCTCCTGGGCAACGTACTTGGAGTCGCCATCCTTGGTGCGGCACTGTCTCTTGTCTGGGGATTACTTCGACCATGGATCAGTTCAAGAAATGGAGGCAAAGGTGCGAAGAACTCAGTCACGCTTAGCACTACAGCCACGTCGTCATCTCCGTTTGATGTCATGGGTGAGATTGAGCCTCTACATGATCTTGACCTCGAAAACGAAAAGCCGATGCGTATCTACAAATTCGCGGACAAATATAACCTCACAATGGGTAATTCGACCTAGCAAATCTAATGAAGTGTCAATGCTAATTGAGTTCTAGGGTTGAGGAAAACTACTGTAAATACAGTCACACACATGGACCAACAGTACGCTGAGCGGATTGAAGAACGAAAGAAGATCTTGAAACAGTATCCCGGGGCGCTCGGCTTCGTTGAAACCGGAGTTGAGATGGTTAACGAGCTCTACACCTTCTTGATGACGCATTACTTGCCAAAAAGATATCCTACTATGTTTAAGCTGGACAAGAAACAGTCTGTGCTGCGCAATCTTGTACTGAAAGAGGATTATCCTCTTGAGCCGCCAGCCGACACTGTTGCCACACTCCGTATCATTGCATTGGTCGTGGACGAAGACTTCTTGATGCTACTTCCTTCTCCTGACGGTGATGGTTACTCTCTCCAAGCCTTCGTTTGGCTGTATCCAGTAGGATTTGACCCGGCTGGTAAGCTGGGTATTAAGCTCCGCGATGCGCATAAGCCCGTTCCCGGATATAAGCAACATCTCCAGATGTCGATGGATCGATACTTTGACCGCCTCGTACCCGGAAAGGTGGTCGATCGAGTCAACTGGGCAGTGGCAACCAACTCGAGCTTGTGCGAACGCGGGGAATATCATCTTTACTCCGACGACCAGGTCAGTACCCAGACTGATATTGATCTTAACGACACATGGGTGCGTTGCGAACTACAGACATTATTTGGCCTGCCAAAAACTGGGGGCAGGATATTGAGTGTACACCTCTACCTGTATCCCATCCAAGAAATGAAAGATGTCGGACTGGCGGATGAGATGTGCCGGGCCATTGATGGCTACGGACAAGGAAATGCAAGCGGATTTTTCAGGTACAAGCGTGTGCCAGTCTGGGGTGAGAAGGTCAAGGAGTTCTTGAAAAGCTGAAAGACAAGCCGCCGGACAAGCTTTCAAAAACCTGAACGCTCAACGCCTTGCAAGCAGAAAAAGAATGTTGAATAGGTCTAGAGATCAAAGCTGAGCAACAGGTGACCCTGGGTATCTCGATTATTCTATATTGCGCTTGGTCCTATGCTTATAAAGCCACGCTTGGTATGAGATGTCACGGCGAAGAGAATTACGGCGTAGTGTTACGATATAGCTCAGCATCATCAAAGCAATCAACCGAATAAAAGCATGTTGGCATGACTGTTTTCTGCAGGAATAATAATCATTCACATTCTTCATGCGACTTCTTTAAGTTATGATGGCAGACGTATCCCAGGTATTTCATTCCAGATCATTTTCCCAATGCGAGCATATTGTTTGTGTTATGGGGAGTTGCTCACGACCAAGTATATCCCACCATAAGCAATAAAGCACTTTAATACACGAAAGCCTCATATTCCTCCTCTGGTTTATCGAAATACCATGCTAGATCTTTGCCCTCGCCCTCCATGACAGTAAAACCGTTGCCCAGATATGCCCATCTATTTTGATTGAATGTCTTCCAGTCCCAGTCCTCGTAACGGGGTTCCTTTAAGACGTGAAACCAGTGAATACGACTTCCCGGATGCAAGCCAATCACTGGTCCTGACTCTTTGCCGTTCTTGAACCAGCTCCGGCACTTGCTGGCCCACGCCATTCGCGGTAGGAATGTGTCTGCATGTTCTACAAATTCTTTGATGGCGTTTTCCTGAGGGCAGAAGCTTTTATATCCTTCCGTCTGTGCTTTATAAATCATCTTGAGCATGTACTTGGTGACATGCTCGGTGATTGGGATAGCGGAGCCATGACCGACAGGAGCGTTTGGACCCATGAACATGAAGTAGTTTGGCATGTCTGCAGGTGTCATGGAAAGATAGGCAGTCGGGCGCTCAGCCCAAGCCTCCCGTAGATCAACGCCGTTGCGGCCAATAATAGGGAACCGTGGCCGGAAGGACAAATCGAACCCAGTAGCGCAGACAATTGCGTCACACTTTATCAACTCTCCAGTCGACATGACGATACCTTCTGGGACAACCTTGGATATTTCGGTTTTGGTAATAACTGACACATTAGGAGCTGACAATGCTTCCAAATATCCAGGCCCTGGAGATGGTCTCCGGCAACCGACTGAGAAATCTGGGATGATGAAATCTTTGAGGGGACTATCGGGGCCCAGACGACGCAGCATCTCCTCCGTAGAGAATTGCTTTGCGGCTGCTTGTTCAGGGGTATCGGCATGAAGCATCTTAAACCGTGCACACAACTCATGTTCGACGTTCTTCCGGTATTTGAGATATAGAGATGGATCCTGCTCGAACTCTCGCTTCTGTTCCTCGGTGAAGTCGAAATTTTGACCACCAGGTGCAGCATACTTGCTTCCAAACCCAGCAGTAATCCACTGAACGCGACGTTAGAGACTTTTTAAATAGGGAGAAGAGCAGACACGTACAGTTGGGCCTCTGATAAATGTAGTCAGATGCTTCACCTCTGGCTGCAACGCAGTGACCACTTGAATACCACTGGAACCATAGCCAATGACTGCGACTGTTTTGTCCTTGAGGTCCACAGGCCTCCAAGCTGCAGTATGGAGCAATTCGCCCGCGAATGAATGAAGCTCCGGAATATTTGGCCACTTCCAGTTGTTCAAGAAGCCAGAACCATTGATAAAGAAATGGCCCCAATCATCAAAGACTTCCCCGGTCGTCAGATTCTCGATTTTGAATTTCCACACTCCCTCGTTCTCATCCCACCTCGCCTCAACTACCCTATGTTGAAACTTGACATATGGCAGCAAGCCATGCTTCTTTGCTGCTTTCTGGAAATATTCCAGAATCTCGGGCTGTGGCGAGTAGTATCTGTTCCATCTCGGGTTGGGCTCCCATGAGTATTGGTAGTTATGGCTGGGAATATCGCACGCACAGCCTGGATACTGGTTTTCCAACCACGTACCACCGGCCTCTGCGTTCTTCTCATAGATTTGGAGGTCGACGTTCTTCATGTGAACCTTGACATTGCGGGCGACGTTCAATCCGCTTGCGCCAGCTCCAAGAGTGATGATCCGCACATGACGGGGAGTGCACATCGGCTCCTCGACAATCTGGTATGTAGACGCTTTGGGTTCCATGCCGTTCATGACTGTTGAAGGCATTGTGGTCTCGCTTTTACTGGTACTGTCGGCTACCATTTTTACAGAATGGCGATAAAACGAAGGGATGCAACTGGCACTTGCGGTAGATCATGAAGTCATGAAAACCACAGAGCTATCATATCCACTGAAGAATCACGATTCGATCGAAGTCCGATCGAGGGTTTGGGTCATCTTCGGTATCGGAGCTTCTGTCTGCCTCGACTCAAGCAGCTAACGCCGTCGATTGCCTAATTGGGCTACTTGAAATATGTGCTCTGAGATTGGTCCCTTACGCCGAGAGATCTCGGGATGCATTTCCACGCTAAGAACGCACCAGATATGACTAGCCCACCACGCCGAATCTTTCTCCACTGATAGAAGAACGGCATAGGAACAGAGGCAAGGACGGTCAACCTACGGAACTCGGCGATTCGATGTAATTTAGCGCAGTCAGGTAAGTTTCGCCGTCGCCTGGCCGCCCCCTGACTTCCGAGTTGCGGCGAAAAAGGGATACCCTCGTCCGCAATGCTTTAGATCAGGTGCATTCTGGGAGCGTTGTAGTAGGCACCTGTAGCAAGATGTCGGCTTCAACATTTATCAAAGTCAATCATGACTCTTTCGAGCCTCAGGGGTCATGCGGCAGTCTTGACACAACGCTCTTTGCTGCGCCGAAATCAGATATCTACGCCAGTCCTCTGGGATCAACCCTTCATGTATATACAGCACCAGTAACATGCAAGCGCATTGCTAAAGAATCGTTCAAACTCGCCAGGGCTACAGTTTCGGCCAAATGGACGCTGCAGTTTGATCAGGGCGGCTTGGTCTTTACACTTCCTAGACCAAGCAACCTCAATCCAGATGCTGTAAATGCAACCACTGCCGATGTGCATCCGGCATGGGTCAAGGCCGGCATTGAGGTGAATGACGGCATTGCAGCAGTCAGCATTGTTGGGAAGTCACTCAATGGCTGGTGCGACTGGAGCCTAGTACCGGCTGGCGGCATTAAAGGTCCTAACGGAGAGATTCAGGTGACTCTTGAGATGACCCGGTTCAAGAATGCTTTGATGATTTGGATGGTCGATTCCGATAAGAAGATTCTTATTCGGAAGATCCCTTGGCTGTTTTTGGACAACGACGACCTCAGTAACGACGCTTTGGTCGGGGTATATGCCGCACGGCCAGATCCATATGACCAGTCGGGAGGGCAAGATTTGGAAGTGAAGCTCTCTGACTTCCGTCTTGAAACGTTGTAGAATATGAGCTAGCGGGGGATCGTTGAGCATAAAGCGCGGGTTCCAATGCAGTCACCGGTAGATACAACTTCTTGCGATAAAACCACTCATCCTGCAAAATCGGCCTTCTCTGCTGCCCAACGTTCCAGTCTCTCCTTTCCATGGCTTACCATGAGGACCGCGGTCGTGAAATCGTCGACATCATTTGGACGCGCTTCTTCAAATAACCTTCCGCAGCGCAGACTTTCTATTGATGTTTCGCCGCCAAAGCGACTGACCTCGAGCCATTTATACGGCGAAGTTGCATCCCAGAGCCCACTCCGTGACGTAAAAGTCAGTCCTCCTGGACATGGTGACCAGCCCTGTTTGAGTGTAGAATACACCGACAACACGCATACAGTCGCCAGGTACGTTCGACGAATTGATTCGCCAACAATCCAAGCGCGCCAAAGGGACTCAACAGTACCGTCCGTTTGGAAAGCATTGTTCATGCCACAGCTCACATCTTCGGCTTCCTGAAATGTGGAACACAAACGGACCATTCCAATATCCATAGTCGCGCTCTCCCACATCTGCTTGGCCCATTTGCGCAACAGGTCAATATGCAATTCTGCTTGAGCTCGAGCACGAATGTCGCCATCGAAAAGCCGGATGAGCTGATAGATAAAGAGAGCTTGAGTTCGAGCAAGATGCGACATAGTATCGATCATGACCATGCCAACAGAACCGTCAAGCGCGTCTGGCTGCGAATCTGTGAGCTGCCGTACACGGTTCTCGAGCATACGCATGACCATGGACTTGTTTGCGTCGTTCTTGGAGAGAAACGCTGTAACACTCGTATACGCGTCTTCCATCACTGAGGGTAAGGTAATCCGATACAGGTGACCATGGATGAGAGGATTGCTGCCATGCATCACCCAGCGTTTGAGCCAAGACATGACCTCTGCAATATAATCATGCAAGGTATCCTCGCCGTATGGACGAGGTTCGTCAAATTTGGGATTATGCTCCAAACCCCAGGTGTCTGGTGACAGAAACCAAATATCCGGAAGAGCGGTGCGAGAGCCTGTGGACAAAAGATTCCCTGAATTAAGCTCAGAGGTAAAATGTCTTGTCACCAGGTGATTCTCAGACTCGAACAAGCCGTCGCCTCGCGGTGATGAAGCCTCGTCGAGCGCGACAGAGGCGCGCTTCGGTGGGTATCTGCATCTCGAGCCCTTTTCAATACAACGTCGGCAGAATGGGAATTGTTTATCACATTTTCTCTTCGCTTTCGTGCACTGAAGACACGCTTTCCGTTTCGTCCCACTAGTCGCAAGAGATGTCGGTACCATGCCGTCCATTGTGGTGCGCCTCTCTGAAACACGAGACAGAAGTGCACCTAAGAAGATGCGGAGTCATGTGGTGTCAATCTCTCACAGGAAATTGACGCGGCTGACCGACACTAACGCGCGGAAATTTGTAATCTGGCGGGTTTTGAGGTGGAATTATATCATGCCACCGACTGCCCCTGCGAATCAGGAACTGCGGTGGCGTCGTGGGCCCCGGAAATCGGGTGGAAAGTTGCGGAAGGCTACCCGCCCAGTGGACGCTCCACTAAACTGTGAACTTGAGCCGGGGTAGTGATTGTTAGGTAGCCAAGGGCATCATGACCTCTACAATCAGTGGAAGAGTACATCTACTGAAGTTGATGTAAATAAAATGATGAATAGAGGACAATAGCTTTCAAATCAGTATCATGACTCTCGTCATTCAGTACATTCACCTCTACGAACTAACATGGAATACCTCGGTTAAAGAGTACAAGACTAGTTGTATCGACTTTTCATACACATCAATGAAAAGCCGCCAACGTCCTCAGATTGATAAGTATTATCAGCGGCAAAGGTCCAAACTCCGGAAATACAGCGGTCAAAGCAATCAATTACCAATTTTACTAGGTCCTACGAGGAATATAAATGAGGCTTTGGTTTGAATAATTCTTTCTATTCCGGAAAAGCTAAGGTTCAACACCCTACAGCACTCAAATACACCAGTAACAGCAGCCATCGAATTAAAATGGATGCAGAAACCAGCACAAGTCCATCTGCTTGGAGCTTTACAAAGGCGTTCCATAAGCAATCTTATCCTGCAATCTCGCCCTCACAGCCTAATAACAGCCAGAAAGGGAAGGTTGTTGTAATCACTGGTGCCTCTTCCGGGATCGGATATGGTATTGCAAATGGATTTGCAGCAGCATACGCGGATAGAGTTATCATAACTGGTAGGCGACATGCCATCCTACAGTCAGCTGTAGCATCCTTGACAAAGGCGGCTAAGGCAGTTGGATCGCAAACAACTGTCGAAGGACGGGCGCTTGATGTCACAAGCATCGACGAAACGTCTAAATTCTGGCAAGCTTTGGCGAAGGAAGGCGTCTTTGTTGATGTTCTTGTCCTCAATGCAGCGTCTACCTCAAAAAGAGCAACAATCCTTGAACATGGGCGCGACAATGTTTGGCAGGAATTTGTGGTAAACGTCAGGACTCTCATGGACTGGACTGAACAATTTCACAAACAAGCGAGCCCTGACCCAGACAGACAGAAGGTATTCTTCATCAGCATTCCTTGAAATATACGTCTGCTAACGACAAATAAGTATTTGATTAATGTCTCGACCTCCGCCATCCACATGTGGTACGATCAAGCGGAAGATCGACCATGCTATGGGCTGACGAAGAATTCCGGTACACTACTTGTGCAGCAGATTGCCAAAGATGTCAAGCTTGAACAAATGCAGATCGTGAGCTTTCATCCGGGAGGAATTTACACGGAGGCTGCTAAGAATGCCGGCTATACCGAAGAAGATTTTCCCGGTCTCTGGGATCACAGTAAGCTCGATAAAACTTTTGACAGGCACAGCTTGGATCTAATAAATTTCTAGTTGATCTACCAAGCCACTTCGCCGTCTGGCTTGCCACCGCTGATGCACAATTTCTCCATGGTCGTACAGTCTGGTCCAAATGGGATATTGAAGAGTTGAAAAGTGGGGAGATTAGGAAGAAAATCGAGAGTGATCCTCACTTTCTAAAAATCGGAGTCAAGGGCTGGTGATGATTGTCTTCGGGTAGTCTACTACAAGGTCCGAGCCGTAGACTCGGAACTTACTTTTCAGGATGGCGGATACAACATCTAGTTATTAATATTCAAAGTGATAGGGTGTTTTTGGCTCGCAATAACGCAAAGACAGCATCAAATGCATGAACTGATATGAAAATCGTATAGATTTAAGGACTTCAAATTTCATCAGATGCAATCTGGTTACCACACTAGCATTGTGGTGCGCGTGCTTCATCGAAAACAGCGAAATGGCCACATTGTTGCCTAAGTTGGGATGAGTTGCCCAAACTAGGAAGGAAAGAAGGCCGCTATTGTCGCCGACCATCCCGCCTTTCGCCCTCGAAACTTGGGAGAAGCTTACGTGAGATCAACTTTTCTCAACGAACCTACAACTATATTGTAAAGTATTTCTTGCAAAACTCCCGGCGTTCATGGCTTTCCCGATCTTCCGGTAGCTTTTGTTGCACTTCACCCTCATATAGTGAGAGAGCGTCGTTTATCTTCTGAAAGAGGAACCCCGACCATGGAGAAAGACCTTTTCATGCCCGTGCTTGAGACAAGCGCGACTCCATATGCGGCAAGATTCGTTACGCTCAGTGTATGGAAGACCTCAGATTTTTCTGTGGGATCAGAAGATTGTTGGCTGATTCCACTTGCTTGATACAGTTCCTCATTAAAGACATGTTCTCTCTTCCGACTCTTCTCTTGATTGGTGCAACTTGTCAGAGCTTGCTCTTTGCAGTTCTACCTTTTGGCTTTGCATTTCTCCCAGTTCTCATCCTTCTCCTTTATACGGCTCTCACAACACTCTATCAGTTACTGTTCATGGGGAGAAATAATTATCTTTCACAAGTCATTCATGGGCGTGTATCGGCGCAACTACCACATTACGTCGACTCGTTTGGCCGCCAGCCTGCAGGCCAACCACTGGCCGTTTTTCACATGGGTGTACGGTTCAATCATCCACTCGGGATGCTTGCTCCTGGCGGGGCGGAGATAGGAAAACACTTCATGGCATGTGTATCGGAAATCACCGATCATTCCGATGAATTTGGACTCCTCGGCCACAGCTACTGGCGTGCAGATGAACGAGCAAACCAAAACACTCTTCTGGTTATCTTCTATTTCACCTCAATCGAGAAGTTAAACTCCTTTGCGCATAGCAAGCTCCACAAGAAGGCATGGGAGTGGTATATAAACTTCTGCAAGAGAAGTGGGGGCCACATTGGCGTTTATCACGAAACCTTCTATGCGGCACCGGGTGGATATGAGACAATTTATGCCAATATGCCGCCAGTCTTGCTAGGTGAGACCCAGGTGAAGATGAAACATTGGACGGGCCACGACGAGTTCATCCGGCCTCTAGTTGACGCGGAAGTCGACCCTCTACGAAGCCAAATGAGCCGCATGGGACTGGATTGCGATGCTGTATCGATGGTGAAGTAGGACTCTTATGAGGAGTATACCGTGACGTCAACAGGGTTTTGTCTCAATGCTATAAGCGTTCGACTCTGTTCCCAGAGACAAGTATGTAATGGTAGCAATGCATCCGAGGCATCTTCCCGCAAAGGTACGAGGCATGGAATAGTGACCATGGATCACGTGTAGAAAACACAAATAGTATATAAAGTGCCTCTTGATACTACTTTGTTCAAAAGGGACTTTAGGATCAAACAAACTGGTCTTCTCACATGGCGAGTTTGCGCGTCGGTTGTGTAAGGTCAATTTACATGTTTATCCCCGATTACGAGCACGTGTGCCATGACAATATCGCATCTTCGTCATCAAATCATCTGTCATTATTGGGTATGTTAAAACTTCTAAACCTATCCTACTCCAGACTAAGTCTCCCAGCAACCTTAGAGAGCTTATAAAGGACATTCAAAACCCAGCTTCAACTGCCATTTATCAAACCACCATTCTTTAAAGCCCATCAGTATCTGTGTACGAAACTGCACTTAAGCACGAATATCGCCAGTGGTGGTGGTGTGCTCGACAATTGGGTGTTCACCCTTAGTCTCTGTGGCAGTGGGCACAGCATCGTCGTCGGCAGCCAAGTGGCGAGCCTTTTCGGAAGCGGCTCCGCCGCCGACCATGGCACTATCGCCATCGAAGTACTTGGCAATTTCCTCGAGAGGGGTGTTCTTAGTCTCGATGAACCACTTCCACACAACGAAGAGTTCGAAGGCAATCCAGGCACTGTACACAATGTAGTACTTCCAGCCGATGTTGTCGAGAGCAATAGGGTTGACGTATTGGTTGAACCACAAGGCGAGGTCAACAAAGAAGAACATAACAGTAAGACCCTATTGAGAGAGTTAGCAATGTGAACCAGACTGACCTCTTAGCAGGGTTTGATTCTTACCTTGGCGCGAATTCTGTATGGCAGAATTTCTGTCGAGTATGATACAAGCAGACCGCAGAAGCCGAGGTTGTAGAATATGAAGTACAGGAAGATGAACACGATCACAGTATTGCCAGCTGCGCGATTCTCGGTCTTGGCATATTGGGCTGAGCCGATCGTCTCAACGACGAAAGAGATGAGCATACCGATGCAGGAGGTAAGGAATAGCGGACGACGACCAATTTTGTCAACGAAGAAACATATGCCAACAGCAGATACCAACTGCACGATGGAAAGATAACCGTTGATCTCCAGCTTGGTCTTGTCGTCTGTAATGCCAATATTCTCCAGAACGCCTCCAAGATAGTAGGACACAAGCGCGTTACCAGACCATTGTGAGAACAGACCGATGCTGACAAGAATCAGAAGACGGTGGCGATTGCCGGGCGTCGACCACAGTTCGCTCCAGGCGTTCTTCTCATACTCTTGCTCAAGGGAGATAGTTTGCTGGATCTCGTGATACTCAACCTGCACCAACTCATCGTTCTCATCACCTTGAGCATGAACGTATGCGAGGACTTTCAGGGCACGCTCAGGTTTGCCCTTGGAGATCAGCCATCTGGGTGACTCTGGCACGAACCAAATGAAGCAAATCTGGACAAGCGAAGGAATAGCTTGTAGCAAACAAGGAACACGCCATGCCCAGTTGCCGTTCATCTGATCGGTGCCAAACGACACCCATGCGCCAATCAGTGAACCAAGATACCAAAGTGTGTTATAAATCGTGCTGTAAATGGCACGATGCTGAGGATGTACAAGCTCGGCAACTAGAAGAGGAGCGGACCCGTGGGCAATGGCGACGCCGAATCCGAGCATGAGACGACCGACGATGAACATGGCAATATGGAAACCCATCGACAATAGGGCAACGCCGACGAGCATGATGATACATCCGATAACGACACCGGCCCGTCTGCCGAGCAAGTCTGCGGTGTATGGAACTATCGGAATGGCAAGCATGGAGCCAATTGACATGGAGGCTGTCAATAGACCCATAGTGGACGAGCTTGGGTGGTGGAAGTCTGTGTAGGATTAGACCAGGCCAGCGCAGCAATGGGGTGAAGGTGCTTACACTCCTGCCACGCGGTGATATTCTGCAGACCGTTGATAAGAGATCCATCATATCCTGAGCGACCGATCTTAGCAATTGCGAGAGTAAAGATGGCTCAAAGCAGTACATACCATTGGTAGCTGAAGTCAACATCGCGGCCCACAGAAAAATGTAGACACTGCGCATGCCCTTCATCTGCCACCACGACACCTTAGGCCACTCGCGGCCGGCCAGCTCAAATGTTGGCTTGCCCATGATGATTAAGCCGCTCAGTAGAAACAAGCTTGAAGTTGATTTTGTGCTTCAACACAGTGAATAAGTTTACTTTGAAAATTGGCGGACAGCACGAGGAGGGCAGCGGACGAAGGCAGAGAGAGCGGAATGGTGCAAAATATATACGAGCCTGTCGAGCAACTGACTACCCTGACTATCCCCGCTTTCGTACAAAGTAGACCTCGCCATCTTCATAGTGTACAAGTCATGTGGATGGAGTATCTCCAGAGTGAACCTGTGCGTGGAGCGGTAGTGCGGAATCAGACGGCTGGCGGACCGAAGAAGCGAGCACGGTCAGGCCAGTCGAGCTCGGGCTCGATCTAAGATCAGAACAATGTCCTCGCGCCCTAATTCGCGCCACAGCTGCCCTGATCTGCCCAAAACATCAATAACCGGACCGGTGGGTGAGCAGACGGCATGATGCCACCGAGGGAGGGCCGCTGGGAGGGTAGTAGCGCCTGTACCCCCATTTGGGGCCACATTAACCACTATAGCACACTGGCGTCCAGTGACCATCCGGAACAGCTCATGGGGCAGCTGCCAGCTGGAGATATCCGCCTGGTTGTTCCACTTGATAGCTCACTAAACTGCTCCTCGTGGGGAAGGGATGAAAAAAGTTCAGTCCCCGTGGGAAATGGAGGTGAATGGACGCGGAGAACCGGTTAAATTGCCCAGCAGCACTAGCAGGGATAGTGTGGGTAATGAGGCCCGACTACGATATGACCGGGCCGGGGGTGGAAGAAATGTCAGCACGTGGTTGGAATTAACAGGAGATGAAAAGCGTGCGAGGGACGAATGCGTGCTTGCTGCGATATTTCGAAGTACTCGGTCTTTGCTCAGAAGGACGATCACGACGAGAATAGACTCAAACTGCTTGCAAGCTTGATCCGATATCCCTAGGCGATGCTAAGTCTATCTTTATAGCTTGTGGATGACATAAATGTTGTTGCTAGATAGGTTATAACTGGTCTATCTCTTCCCTAAGGGGTAACCGTGGTTATGTGAAGTGGGTATACTATGTATAGGCTGGAATAAGCTTTTGGGGCACAACCCCCGATCTCTTGTGCCACTTTGACGTGCAAACAAGCTCGCCCGCCACGCGGGTACCCGTTCATGACAAGTCTCGGCGCGTTCTCATTCGCTTTCCCGCATGTCACGAATGTCCGGATAATCTAAGCAAGACGATTCTCTTGACCAGGTTGTAATTTAGCCGGACCCTCGCGCTTGGCGCATCGCAGCACCATTCCATTCCAGGGTTGCCCAACTTGATAGGAGGTGCAGCCACTGTAAGGTGCCGAAATCCGGGCTCATGAGGGCGAACCACTGTCTTGGGACCCTGAACGCTTCTCGGATGGCAGGGTTGGTGGGGTGAACATCACACCTCTAATAGCTCCGGATATCAGGCTGTTCTCCAGGAAGAACAAGGAATCCATTTTTCCAGCGCTTATCGCTTGCGAATCTGTGACTTGGAATTTGCGAAAAATATGTCCGATCATCAGTCAATATGTGCACACTAGTAAGTATAGGATCGCCTAGATCATTCCATGATTGACTTACTGCGGCGGTCACTCGACACACCGTTCGGTTGCATGGCGATCATCAATAGTTTGTGTGATAGCTAATATCATCTTCCTCGCGTTATCTACATTTATGCCACTACCCAGTCTGGACAGATTCATTGCTGACTTGCTCATGAGCCTGGATGCAAAGCTCACAGAATTTTTGGAGGCAAGCCTGCGTAATAATTCTGTTTGCAGGGAGGGTCTCGACATTCTAAAGCCTAGAACCCAGACAGCGCAGGACAGAGATTCGATAATGCACTGCGTATCTGCGTAGCTAACAACCGTTCTATGAATCTAATCCATGGACTTCAAACCCTGGACGAATCTCTACCCGCGATACTAAGAAGCCTCAAAGTCACCAAGCCAATCCACAAGGAGAGGCAGGACGATCCTCCGAAGTCGAAAGCCAGAGCAATTACGAAAGACAACTATTGCTGAGGCAAGGCACCCTTGATTAAGCTACACGTGCATCCACGTAAACTCAATCCAAGGCCTGGTGTTGATATAATCAATCTCCGTATAAGTTTGGACATACTATGTTGTTTAACCAACAATGTCAAAAGAACGTGGTAAATATGAATGCTTGGGCTAAATGAGGCAATATCTCCTAACAGCATCCTACATCATCCGGAGAATATTCTTGTGATGATCTCATATCCACCTTGGAGCAGCACCAACCTGCCAGTCCACGCACCCATTATCCGTACTTTGTCTCAAGATGCCCCCATTTTTAGCTTCTCGGGTAGACATATCACCTGTCATCCCATTAGCATCTTCTGAAGACGTAGAATATGAAGCTCATCTAACAGTCATCTATTATACGCTTGTAGATTCTCTCACACTCCTCGCCCCTGGGAAGGTTGAATGACTGCTTCAGCTTGCAACCACCCTGGTCGGTCAGGTACTGAACAATGAGTCGGATCTTTAGCCTTTGCCCAGAGAAGCGCCGAGATTTGACTATCAGTATATAGAGGTCATTGGCCCCATATTGTGAGTTCAGCCTTAGACTACTGGTTAACTCACAATAAACTCTCTCCTCCGAGGAAGCTAGGATCACAGCGTTTGACTGGTCACTATGTTCTTAGTCGGTGTTCGAGCCCTTATCTGGGTCTCTACGGCCTACGCCACTACAGTCGTAAGGGATTAGTTGAGGTAAGTCAGAAATCACAGATTTATCACAGAATTGATGCAAAAAGATTCAGCAGTCCTTGGAAACGATCTCCTGACGTGGCTCACTGCAATATCTTGGGCATCTTGCCTCATGGCTTGCTACAATCCCGAGATGACTTGCCAAAATGCAGTCCGCCAACAGCCATAGCGAATCAAGACCTCCGTCTAGTGTGGTCACAACATAACTCTTCTCTGGGAGCGGATAAATCTTCCTGGTGATTTGAGTATGCAAAGTTTTTATAAAGCAGAAATTCCAAAGAAACCTATTGTTACAGTAGATAAGGGCGGCGATTTTAACACAGCGATACTCCGAACATTTGCCAATAGACGTACAGAGTGGAGTACCGGAACGCAAGGACTTTGTGGATGCACTACTCTTATTATCATTAGTCGACTGGGTGTTTACGCAACACACTGGTGGGAAAGCATCTCGTTTGCTCCCGACAGTAACCAGCGCTTGACGCAAGTACGAAACCGATGACGAAGTCTTCAAATGAACAGTGCTCGACCCCATACGCAACGGCGAGAAGACATCAGATGGGTACAAGCCTCATGAAAAGCCTCACGGTGCGCGGATTGAAGATAAGCACATCAGAGCCTATTTGATCCACCTGGAACAGACACATGACCGTATAATGGATGGATATCGCTCTAAGTAAGACGACATCAAGGAGGCAGTGGGCCAAATTATGCCCGCACTAAAATTTGTGAAAGGGGGGATCAGAGTAAGGCTCATTGGAAGAATTTGTATACAAGCTCAAAAATATGGATGATCCCGACCTTGACAACACGGCAGCGTGGAAGTGTTTAGTGAAATATGGTCCTAAACATGAGGGAAAGAAAAAGGCGGTCCTTTGGGTTGCAGGCAGAAAAAAGCGCTATCATGACGATAGTTGGTGAGTAGGACTTCCAGCACCTTGCCATACCGTTTCTCAACAAGTTGTGATCAGGAGAGGGCATTAAAGCTTCACGAGGAAGTATGATGAATATACAAGTGAAGTCTGTGTGTCTTCACAAGATATGCAAGTCATCTCTTGATTCAAAAGGATTCTGATAATACTCAATTGTTTGAGTTTCGAAAGCTAGGTGCGTTTACATGTAACATTCCCTAATCTATCTTCCCTTAAAGATGTACTCGCTTTCTTAACATTGACAAAGACGGTAAAATAACATGGTATGCGTACGGTTACGCTGCTTGCTAGGTTTTGTGCTTTGCAATGAAGAAGAGCTTGCACGGACATCACCAACTTTCTATGAGGACCTGAAAGAAATGTTCATTAAGCCTTGCTACTTTGACAAATAATTCAAGAGCGTGGTCTCTGGTTACTGTGCGTTCGTAGTAGAAATCTCGCATAATGCCTAGATTATAGCCTTGAGGGCATTATATCAGGCATTTATAACCACTCATGTCAAGGGGTGTCATGACAGCGGCGTCTTCAAACTCTATCAGAAGGGTCACCAATGTGATGCATCTGTTGTTGCTCATTTTCTTGCACAGAGGCGGCATTGTCAGGATCTTTAATGCCCGTTAACCTCTCCATAATCTTCGCCGCGAACAGGTCCCCGCTAACATTTGTAGCTGTCCGGAAACGGTCGATGAACCAGTCAATTGCCACGACAACAGCGTACATTCCAGTCAGCGGCACGTTGACACTACCAGCTATCATAACGGTGAGAACAAGGGACGAGCTCGGTATAGGCGTTGTGCCGATAGATGCAAGGGTGGAGAGAAGACAGATAATGACATAGTCGGCGCCATTCAGTGTAATACCCTGGGTCACCGCCATGAACACTACAACGAGAGGGAAATAGATCGCAGTTCTGCCGGAGAGCGAGGTCAGCAAATAAGACTAAATAAGACGTGTGCCAAAACCCACCCATCCATGTTGATCAAACAGCCAAGGGGTACTGCGAAGTCGACAATAGTCTTAGGAACACCTCTTTGAAGACTGCACCTCATAGTTACAGACAATGTGGCGGCAGAGGAAGCTGTTCCCCAGGCAGTAAGCCAGGCAGGTGAGTTCTTGAACCAAAATGTATAAGGGTTCTCCCTGACGATCGCGAAGTAGATAATAGGAAGAACGATGAATAGGTGTATAAACATGCCGCCAACACTTCCACCGATCAAAACACCTAGATTCTGGCCGATCTCAGCAAGGTCGAGTCGGAACAGGTTTGGAAGAATTAGGAAGAAAACCCCAATGGGGGCAAGTTTGATGAGGAAGGTGATGATGACAAGGACTATTCGCTCGACTTCCTTGGTTGCACGGAGGAGAGAGGAGTCCGGTCCGTTGATTAAATACCCCACAATCACGGAGGTCACAAGCACGGCTAGAAGACTATCAGTAGCGAGTGCATTGACCACGTTTGATGGAATCAGCGATTCGAACATCTGGACAACAACATCGTGAATGGCGACCTCTTCTCTCTCGGCATAAATATCCGCATCCTCTTCGGCAACAGCGAGACTTTCATCGCCGACGCGGGTCATCAGCCGAGACCACACGAATGCGGTCATGATTTCACTGTGTATAATTGCAATGATGGTAGTGGCCACATAGTAACCTATAGTCCAGCGAGCTAAGGCGGCGCCGCGACCTGTCATATCCCGGAGTTGCTGTACGGCGAGAATCATGGCACACACGATCAACGGTAGGACTGTAAATTGTTAGGGCTCGGCTCGTAGAGATGCCTGTGACGGCAGTGTTTGCTGCACTGACCAACTGCTCTCAGGGATCTTAGCCAGAGGGTTCCAGGTATCGCAAGGATGGTACTAGCAGCATCGGGAATGTCCTCAACGGTGGATGTGACAGCCATGCCGATGGCTATAGCAAGGGCTGCAGCAAGCACAATCTGAGGAGCTGATCCAGGCACCTTGATGGCATGCCACCATGGTTCCTTCGACGTGAAACTTCCATGGTTGGTAGAATGAATTGACGCTCTCCTCGTGGTCCGATCTTGTTCGACTGCTTTCTCCATGGTGTGTCAAATGGCTTATATTGCTCCAAATTACAACAGCAATGAAGCCGAACACAAACTCGGACGTAGGCGTGATATTACCTTATATAATGCTAGCTTTCAAAAGTCATAATAGTTCTAGAAGACACCAAGCCCAAATTCCTTTCTAAGTCATGCAAAAGATAAGGCGACAAAAATTCATAGGCGCACCAAGAGCTTGAGTTGCTAATGCTAAGAGCTCGGCCTTTCTTGGAAATGGTTGGCATTGGCAGAACAGGAAGGTGAGCAGCAGGAAAACCACTCCGTGCCGCAGTCAGGTGATACTTTGCAAATCAACGGCCAGAGAAGGTATAATCACCAACGTAATGCCCAGTCTTTCCAAGAGGAATGATTTTTACGAGTTGCGTCGTGAAAATTATAGTCTTGGTCCTATTATTGACATTGCTGGACTCTGCCAACTTGGTCATGCGGGGCCACTCTTACCCATGAATGATTTATCGATTTCATTGGCTAAGAGGAGCATGCGAATAGAAATTGATCGAAAGGTTAGAGGAATGAAAGCGTCAGTCCTTGTACATATACTTGTGGGATGCCTGTGCTATCCTGGCATCGTCATTATATATGTGTATATCAATATTACGTCAGTCTACATGACCGATAAGAGCACGGCGTTTACACTTCATCACTGATTGACCATTCGTGTATCAGTCACCAATCCCAAGATCACTGTCAACCATTCCAAGACCTAAGTTCCGGTATTCACAAGACTCTTCTGGTAGAAGGAAACGTTGTCTGTTAGATTTTGGGCAATTTAGACTGTTGAACCGCAGTCTCTATCCGTATACAACGTCCAGTTTGTTTACCTTAAAACCTCTGGCGGATCGACAAACGGTCAGAACTATTTCTAACATCATTTCTCAACAACACTCTCAGCATCACTTTCCCAGCATCGTTAGGAGATACTAAACAGGACTGCCCTCCTTGCATCGAGCATGGCTGGTACCGCAATCGGTCGCTGTTCCGTAATCACAGCAAACCCCTGATGGACCGCACTCGAAGGCATGTGTTGCAACTCGTTTCGTCTTGATGGCGTACGTTCCTGCACCGACAACACAGTTTCCGCAATAAACTCCTTGAGTGAGCCCAGATACGCATTTGCAACCATTGGAGCTGCAGGAACGCTCCGCAAGACCCTTGTCAGTGTCCATCGCTATCACTGGTAGTATGCATGATAGAAGGAATGCTGCTTTCAGATGCATGATCACTGTGGCTGCCGGCTTGAGTGAGACCTTTACCATTCTCGTTATATAATGACACTCACCTTTTGTTCTTTGTGTGCTGCGAGCTTAGCTTTAAGTCACGCGTTTGCAAGTCTCCTGACGGTCGCGGGGATAGTCGCGGTCTTATGCTGCCTTTCACGCAATTTTGATCGGCGCTGCGCAATGATTCCTCCGTCTTATTATTTAGGATGTAACGGTACTATATAGATCCCAGCTAGTGGCCCCCATTGTGCGGAGTTGACACTTCTAGTTGCCCATTTCTCGATGATTCGCATGGAGCTGAATATAACCGAAGGTTCGAGGCTTGGCATTATCTCAGCTGATCCTCGTAGCTGAAACCAGACTCTCCCATTGGCCTCTGGTAGCACTGTCGCAACGTATCCAACTAGGTCCTCGAATGGCAGCGCGGCTTTTGATATTTCGAATCGACTTAGATGGTCGCTGAACTTGTTCACTTTCACACTTTGAAGTATGATATAAGAGGTACGATTCCTCGATTCATGCCATTCCATGGCCTATTTATTTACAGGACTCTGTTGACTAGTCTGTGCCTGTATGTGAAGCTTCTTGCTTTCTTCCCATAGATATACATGGGTATAGTCGTGAGCACAACCCCTATAGTAATTCCACCTATGACAAAGAAGCAGTCGCGAACCCCCTGGACGGCAATCCAGTCATTGCAGTAGAATGTCAGCCCAAATGCAAACATGTTTTTAATGAAGTTCATGATTGCAAATGCTTCCGCAGCTTGTTGTCTATGACAGTCAACAATGTAAGTCACAACTCCAGTTGTCCCTAGTTGAACTCCAAAATTAATCAAACCCATGCAGACAATGACGGGCACCGGCCATGGCTGCTGTTTGTAGAGGCTCTCCCCCCATGCGAAAAAGCCCGTTGCGGTGAAGAGCAGATACGCAGTCATGATGGGCAGCCGGAATTCGGGCTCTGTGAAGCCAAACGTCAGCTAATCGTCTATCTGACCTTAACGAAGCGTCGTGAGTTGCCTACCAAATATGCCTCTATTGACCCTAGACATATACTTAACCACGCCGTCAATCAATGGGCCTGCGATGGCTGTTGCAATCAATGTCGCCACAAATGATGATAGGTTGGATGCACCGACTGCAGCAACCGAGAAGCTATACGGCGGGGCAGAGAAAATCTGCGAAAGCGTAATCGAGATCAACACCAGCCATGAGATACATGTGGTGAATAGTAGTGTGGCCCAAATGAGCATGGGAGATGCCAGCATGAGAAATGGGCGAAGAAACGTCCTCCAAAATGAAACATGGTCAAAATAACCGTTCCAAGGAAGAAGCTCTCTTGCCCATGACTTCGGCTCTCCGGCACCGGATCCTCCGCGTGGCGATGCAATGGATCGCTCCTGATGTTCGTATCCAGGTTTTTCCTGTTCCTCGGTGACCACCGCTTTATCGCCTGTATCTATGTTGATTGTTCCACTCCTATGGAATGCCGACTCCGGCATGAACAGGACAGTGAGCAGTAGCTGAAGAACAAATGCCCCACCCATTGCGTGAAGAGCAATCCGGTACGAGCTGTACTGAATTATGGCACCAGCTTCTTCGAGTCAGCGCGAAAAACTACATGATGGTCGGGTACCAACTCACCGATAGGGGATGCAAGATTAATCCCTCCAAGGACTCCCAGGTTGAAGATAGCTGTGCGATACCCCCTCTCATGAACGAACCATATATCTGCGATCGATGCTGGCACGAGGGCCTCCATCGGAGCCATACAGAAGCCTTGAACTGCTCGAGCGGCAGCTAACGAACCGAAACTTTTGGCCTCGGCGGCCCAGAAACAGGTAACCATTAGACCGATAGACGTGGCGACATAAATGGGGCGTTTCCCGATCTTGACAGCAAGCGTGTTGCATAAAAGACTTCCCGCCGCGATAGCCACAATGCAAGAGCCTTGTAGACCGAGAGTGAATCTTTGCAACGGGACGTTGAAGTCCGCAGCTAGCGGCACGATAGCTGAAGTCAAGAGCGGGCCAACAGCTGCAAGCAATTGTTAGTGATTCGGTTCGTAGCAACAGTGGATGAACTTGCCTCCAACACAACCACAGCCGTAAGCTATTCCGACAGTGAACATCTCCTTCTTCCATCGTGGCCAATTGTACGGGTCATTGGGCGAGTCGGAGGGCTGTGGAACAAGCACGATCTGTCCACTCGGGTCGTGTTTTAATAGACCAGGGTCTATTCCCTCGATGCCACCGACCTCAGGTCTGCCCAGCTCGTTGAGAGGCGATGTGCCAGGAACATGCTCAAGCTTACGGTCCTCGAGAATGCCGAGCGGCATTTTAGTGATGGAAGTTGTATGATTATGCCTCAGTGTAACTGTACAACTCCAAGCTCCAGAGGCTTGGTTGGGTCCTCGCAGATCGCAGATGCTGTGCAACGGGGAGATCGAGGTTTCATCCGTCAGCATGCAATCTGGCCGTTGGAAGTGGGTTCCCGAAACACCAAAAAACAATCAGGGAATTCTGGGGCTTCAGGAGAGAAGGATCAGGTCCTTTTGTGCAAGTGGGGGGCATCAGATTTGGACGCCGATGTTACGCTCAGACAATTGGCGCGGGGCAATCTCGCTTGCAATGCTGGTCAAGTGTCTTCCCTTGGCTCCCGGGCTTCTGGCGAGATAAAGCACTCTCTTTTCCCCGGAGAACGACCGGCTGCTAGGCTCAAAAGCAGCACATGCGCCCGGCATTGCTATATTAAGTGACTACCGGTGCTACGGGGTATGGTTTCTACGCATAGCCGAGACTCCAGAACATCTCCACATTCTTCGCACTGTCATCATCTACATAGTCATGAGGTGGCCGGAGTGTCACACTGTCTCCGTGGATTTCCGCTACCTGGCCGGTTAATGATGGGTCCGCAATGAGCTGAGCGACACCTTTGGTCAGAGTTGCCATCGGCGTCACAATCATCTTCTTGACGAGCTCTTTGCTGGGTGCGATGTTCGTGTCTGAGAGTTTCGGTCAGCACACCGCGAGAACGTCTGCGCCGTTTTTCAAGCTATGCATACCTAAGACAGCTGGTGCTAAAGCATTGATCTGGATATCGTGCTTCTCTAATAACCTTGCCATCGAGCGAACGAGCCCGATAACGCCCGATTTCGATGCAGCATACAGAGGCGCGACAGGAAATGGGTATATACCAGCATTCGATGCGGTGCAAATGATGGACCTCTTCGAGGTGCTCAAACGAGGACTCCTCATCATATAATGAAGCGCGAGTTTGATTGCTGATGCGTATGCGAATGAGCATAATATTCACATCTAATGAATCTCAATATGGCCAAGCAAACTCACTATATATAGTTCCCAGAAGATTGACCTCGAGTACCCTAAGTTGAGGTTTCGAGGGAGTTGCCTCATCTATGCTTGCGAGACTGCTAGAGCCTTGTTCAGAGATTCCCGCGTTTGCCATGACAACATCAAGTCGATTCCCGTGTTCTTTGTAGACTTCTTCAAAGACACTGGCTTGATGCTCCCACGATGAGACGTCGCATGTCTTGAAGCTGAGTGCGGCTGCTGGGAATTCGGAGGCGACATCGGTCACGACTTTAGCCCCCGTTTGCGCATTGATGTCAAGCACGGCGATCTGATGGCCCTCAGATGCAAAGTGGCGTGTCAGCGCGAGGCCAATCCCGCTAGCACCGCCAGTCACGATAATTGACTTTCGCAGTGCTCCGTGAGTTCCGTTAGATGCCATTTTCGCTTGCTTGAACTGTGACTCAAGGCCATGAAAGGGAGCGTTGAGATGTTCAGTATCGTTCTCAAACGTCGTTCTCACAACAGACCCCGCAGTTCGGGGACCACACTGTGTAGCGAGATCGATGGGTCGTCAGTGGGACCGGGACTTCTTGACCAAGACCAGGCCACGCCAACTCGAAACTCCACGGGAACCAATGGTGATTTTCGGGTCGCTGCTAGATGCTCTGGCAGGTCTCAGTGGCTTAAATAGTGCGCCTTGACCCCGCAATGGAGAAACATAACCTTCTCGGCAGATAGGGGACATCAGATCTGAAGCCCGAGAGCATCTCTCATCTCGAATGCTTTCTTTGTAAAAGTGGTAAGACACGTCTCTCCAGTTGAGTTTACGGCAGTCAAAACACGCCTCCCAAGGTTTGGTCAGCACCTCGCTGACGAATAATTAGATAATGACCGAAGTGGTGTTCTCTCCACAAGGAGCTAAGCGTCTGAAAGGCAAGGTGGTTGTGATTACCGGTAGGCGCGCCAAATCTTCTCGGACAGCCAGATAGGAGTTGACAGTCACGTTTCAAGGTGGAGCTCAGGGTATTGGAGCAGCAACGGTTGCGTTACTCCACAGCCACGGAGCTCATGTTTTCTTTGGCGATTGGGATGATGCCAAGGGACGGACTGTGGAACAAACTCTTCAGTCGAGCAAAAATGAGATCGGGGGATCTGCTATCTTCCAGAAGCTCGATGTCCGAGATTACCAATCTCAACTTGCTCTGTTTGATTCTGCGTGGAGATCACATGGACAGGTTGATGTAGCAATATCTTGTGCTGCTGTGAAGGAACCGCCTGGCTGGTTCGAGCCAGAGGATCTGGATCGTACAACTGTTCGAAAGGCAAGTGACGCTCATTTGAAGAATAACAGCTCCGGTGGATTGACAATTGATTCAAGGACCCAACTCCTATCAAAGATCACATCGACATTAACTTGACGAGTGTCATCGCTTTCTGCAGGATCGCACTGGCTTTCATGAACGACCCACAAAGCCGGGGCGCCTCTCAAAATTGCCCAAAGTCCATTGTGCTCGTATCATCCATTGCAGGTATAACGGAAGCTCCTGGCCTTTTCTCTTATTCCCCCGCAAAACACGGCGTTATTGGTTTAATGCGAGCGCTCAGGCCGTGGGCTCCGCTGAAATATGGCGTACGAGCAAACGCTATATGCCCTTGGGCAACGGACACTCAGCTGCTTGGTGATGTAAAAAGCCGCTGGGTTAAAGAAGAAATGCCCATGAACAGCCCGGAGGATGTTGCACGCATGATCATACAGAGTGCAATAGATCAAAACCTGAATGGAAAAGCAATCTTCGTCACAGGCGGTCGTGGCTTCGATACCGAAGAGGGAATTGACAAGACGCAGTCCCAGTGGATGGGCGAGAAAAATTCGTCACAATTCCTTAAAGGGCAGGCGATACTTGGCTTGGTAAGTAACATACATTCTAGCTTCTTTTAGTGACCTTAAGGCTCACATATAACGACTAAACAGGGTGACAAGTGGACGAGTTCAAAGTTATAGTGTTGATCTGTATATATCTTGTGGAACTACCTTGCCTTCAATACCGTATTTCATTGTGACTTCCTGGAGCCCAACCGACTATTAGAATCAGATATGTGAAGATTTACAACATTACACTTGACCTGTTCCTTCAAATGATACCAACCCGAAGTTTAATGTCGGTCGTTGGGATCGAAGCCCAGCATTGGTAATGTTTTGCCGAGTGGGGACTAGCCAGAGGGGGCTGATATCGCTGCGCGCAAAACTTAGAGTATTGGATGATAGATCGCACATGTCAGACCAGGCACATACAAGTTAATCGTAATGATATTGTGACAAAAGAGAGCCC